TGACTTCATATATGAGTTGCATGAGATGGAGCAGTGGGTGCTTGACGCTGACTTGTCAGACTAGCACCCACTGCTCCATGGGAAGGGCAGATAGGCCTTGTGCATGCATTCTGCATGTGCCTGTTGCCTGTTTGGTGTGTGCTGTGGACAGAGAAGATGCCTGGTTGCGCCGGAAGGTAGCGCCGGGCTTAGGGACAGGTGTCTCGTCAAACCCTTAACCAACCAACCAACCAACCGACAAATGGCGTACGAGGCGCCGGTGGCTCGGCTTCCTGAAATTCTTCTGACGACGCCCATTTGCGTGAAGGCAGAGAGGGTCACAGATGCGGTTCACCCTCCTGAACGAGTCGAGGAGATAGCGAAAGGCATCATCAAGCGGTTGGTGGAGGTCGCAGGAAGCAAGAAACTTGGGCTGTCGGCAATGCACAGGAGTGGAGCGGCGTTTCGTGTGGCCGCATCGGTGAGGAAACAAGGGACGGGGGAAAGGTCCAGACCCGCCACGGTGAGGCACTGACAGGAGAGAAAGATGACTGACTGCCTGACTGTCTCTGTGGTTGGGTTGCCTGTGTTGAGTGTAGCTGTTTCCCATCGGGACAAAAGGAGGTGCAAGTGTCGCGTGCACCTTACACACCTTTTGGGAGGCACTCGCCTACCGGAATGCACTCGTTGAGGTCATCGACCTCGCGAAGGGGACGGGTGTCCCTCCCGAGGTTCCAAGCAAGACGGAGGTGGTGCGTCAGCTGTGGCAGACATACAGACTGCCGGTCAGGGGGGTCAACATGGTGTGGGACGACCACGCAGAGGGAGGCGGAGAAATGAAGGAAACGAGCATAGAGAGTCTGAGGCTGTGAGAGCAGGCGATGAGCTTTTTTGGAACTGGTTAATATATGTGTGTGTTCGTGCCATGTAGACATGAGTAACAAGTTTGACCTACAGGGTGGGAATGACTAAGGATTGAATAATGGTCGTTGCCTAAGGCTGCCATCACGACGAGAACGGGCCGAGGATGACGATCTGGGGCTGCTCCCGGTGGCGCTGGAGGTGCTGCGGGGGCCAGGGGCTGACGGGGCGCTGCAATAAAGGATCGGCGCAGCTGGCTGAGGACGTTTTTGGCAGCCGTCACTGGTCCGACCGTCACCGCATGAAGTTTGTGTTGTCTTAGATACTATCCAAAAACTCTCCGGTCCCCCTTCGCGCCTTTCTGTCGTATGCAAAACAAATAACAAATATGCCTCGCTAATCAGCCAGCCAGGCAGTCAGTCGATAGAGTGGTTGAAGTCCTTGAGTATGAGAATGGTCTTGTCAAGGTGCAGCAGGTGGCACTCGAGCTGGTCCTCGGCCAGCTGACGGGCTGACAGGCTCTCCTGCTCCTCGTCCGTCATGCTGCGGTCGCTCCTGCAGGCAGGCAGGCAGGCAGTCGCACAGATATCGATCGACACGACAGATACAAAGGCCAATTGTGTGTGTATCATGCGTCATTCACGCATGCCACGCACGCACCTGAGGAACGCAGTCAGAAGCTGTTTGCTCTCCTTGTCCAGCCGCGCTCGCATGTTGGCTGCAGTCTTGAGGACGTCGCGCAGCACCAACTCGCGCACCTCGCTCTCTCTGACGGTGAAGATGTTGAAGGACTTGGTGGTGTAGCCCTTGTTTGCGGCCGCATCGCCGCCGGCCCTCTGTGTCCCCCCACCACCACCGGAGGTGCCAGCACTGCCAGAGCCAGGAGGCCGGCCGACGTCCTGAATGGCCGCCCACCCGTTGACCAGCAGCGCATTGAGGGCCTCCCGACATGTCTTGGGCGGCAACAGGCACAGCTCACCGATCTATATGACATTGTGCACAGAGAGAAATACAAAATGCCCCGGACTCTCTGTTTGTCACCGCTGGCTGTAAGTGACCTTCTTGTCGTCGTGTTTGGCCCCCTGCGCTAACAGAGTGTACACTCGCGCACCCGCCAGACCAACACGAGCCTTGACCGCACTGAGAAGTAGTGAGTCACAACGTGACAAATGGGCCTGAATGAATGGGCGTGGCTGGCGTGATATGCATGTCTGTCTTGTCTTTGCTGACTTGAAGACGACGCGCGACTGAACGGCTCTGTGGGCGTTGTCCCACATGAGCTGATAGGTGGTCACGGGATCGTCGCCGTGGACTGACAAGAAAGACATACACATACAAGACATGATCTCCACCCTCTCTCCTTGAATCAATTGTGCAGGTGCAGACGCCTACGTGTGTCCCTCTTGACCACGATCTGGTCGGGGTGCTTGACGAGCCTCTCGAGGGCCTGCAGCATCTGGGTGCGGTGCTGCATGGCCTTGCTGGGGGTCTTGGTCGTTTGCTGCATTGCGGAGCCTCCGCGCAAGTACGACTCGCACCGCTGCTCCAACTGCTCGAACGTCAGGGCAGCTGAAAGCCACACCAACGCACAGCAAAAGGGATGGATGTCTCTGACATACGGACGATGCCCTGATTTTTACATGTTTCGACGTGTTTCTGGCCGATCATCCTCACGGTGGTCAGGAGGGCCTTGACAATGATGGAGGCCAAACGAGTGGTGCGCACGAGGGCGAACCGCTGAACCATCTGAATCGACGAAGACGCATCGAGTGCTCTTTGGGCGAATGCGCTATTTCTATTAATGCTCACATCTTTGGCCAATTCCAGCGTCAGGAATCGCGAGTTGACGCGATAGACCCAGCCCTTGTCCTCTATAGCCTGCAGCTGTGCCGCCACGCCCCTCTTGTCGCCCTTTCGTCTCCGACCACCCTTACCCTCCACAGCTGCATCGCCATACTGGTCCTCTGGCCACTCCGCCCCCATCGGGTGGTCCTCTGCGTCCTCCTCGTGACGTAGGCTCCTCACGGCGTCGCCCTTCTTGCCCTTGCGTCTCTTGCTGCTGGTGGCTGTGGCTTTGCCCTTGTCCTTCTTCTGTGCCGCCCTCTTCCTGCCCCCGCCCCTCTTGGCTGGCGATGTCGGCTCGTCAGGCTGCTCGTCCTCTGCCCTCCTTGTCTGCCGCTCCTTTGGCCGAGCCGGGTCGGCCCTGCAGAGCATCGTGTGGCTGACCAGCCACAGGAACTCCTCCTCGAAGCGTTTGACACGAATCAGCTGACTGTCCTGGGCAGCTGAAGGCCCATGCAGATCCATCTCGTCTTCGTTGTCGTCTTCTTGACCAGCCAACTCGGGTAGCACCTCTGCAAGCACGCATATACATACACAAGCGCATGTCAGCGGCCGCCATATGCGCGTATGGCCGCCCCGCCCGTATGTATGGTGTGTCCGCACCTGATGTCTTGAGTGCGGCGTCGATGGAGCGTCTCATTTTCATTCTGCCATGTTTCATGACCTCTTCCAGCACCAGTCTGGCCATGGCGCCCCTGCCCTGCTCCTGCTCGTCGCGCATCTCCTCCACATAGAGTAGGAACCGCGCGAACCGCTGGCGCACAAGGATCTCGTCCAGGTCAGCGGCGTAGACGATTGGCGGGGCCACAGCGTCGGCGGAGGCAGCGGCCGTCCCGCTGTCGTCGATGAACTGACTGTCGTCCTGTAGAGGTTGATGGATGCACAACAGAGGAGAGAGGACAAACGAACAGAGGGATGGATTCATCAAACACTCTGACGAATGATTTGTAGGCCTGTGTGCATCTATCTGTATGTGACCTGTATGCGCACACAGTTGTGTTGGATGAGGACCAGGATGGCGTTGCGGCACTGTGTCCACGGCAGCCGGGTGAAGACCAGCAGGTCCGACAGCGGCGAGGGGCCCCGAGTGAGCAGACACTCAGCCACGCACTTGACCAGTGGGCCAAAGTGCTCCTCCAGGAGAGCCAAAGCCAACGACAGCTCCTCAGCCAACATCCTGTTCCGAGAACGATGCTAATTTTGATTTTCACGGCAGTTTCATCTCTAAACGATCTGAAGATCTTCTCCCCTCCTTTTTCTTGCTTGGAGACGATGGAACATAGTTTGGCATCGGTGGTGCTGAAGATCTGACGCACAGGAGGCATCCGCCGGAAATGCTTCTCCGCCTCTCCCGTCCATTGCGCAATGCTGTGCATTCCCTCCGCCCATCCCCCGCTGCAGCCCACTCTGGCCAGCAGCATCACAGCACAGCACAGCATGTCAGCTGCCGGCCTTTCTTCTCATGGATCAAGAAGCGGCGGCGAAGCGACGGACCGCCGCCGAGCCAGTCAACAGAGCCTGGACTAGTGGGCCTCCCTGGTACACAGAGAGTGAGATAGATAGATGACACGACCCATGGCACGCATTCGTGTGGCCGTGTGTCTGTCCGTTCGTGCGCGCCTGAACCCAGGTGTGTTCAAGCCCCCTGATTTTGTGGATCTGGCGAGGGAGGTGGTGCGGGACTCCAGACGGCTGCTGAGCAGCGGCAACGAGGACTTTGGCCGAACCGCAAAGCACGCCGTCCACACGCTCGACGCTGTGTCAAATGCCCTCTGCAAAGTGGCAGACGCAGGTGAGCTGATTGATGGATGGGCGAGGTGGCCATCCATCCATCCATCTTTGCATCCATCCTGGCATCCATTTATGGCATTCATTCAGGCGAGTTGGTACGTACGCTTTCAAACGATCCCGAGTGGGTGCAGAGCAGCAACGAGGTGGTCAACGAGATCAGCGGGTGCATAGCGCACTTCAACCTGGACACCCACATCTACCGCACACTCACGGGCCTCGAGGAGAGGGGCAGGGGGGAGGGGGGCGTGGCCGACCTAACAGAGGAGGAGAGGAGGGTGTTTGTCGCCATGAGAGAGGCCATGGAGCAACAAGGCGTCCACCTCCCAGAAGGGTAGGTACACCTACCTATGCCTGTGCCACGTGTGTGGGCACTCGTTCTTCCCTCTGTTATGTCCGCATGGCATGAAGTGAGCGAGAGATGGCGATAGCCAACATCAAGATGGAGTCTGAGCTGGCCTACGATGTCATTGCCATGTCGCGATCGCAGCAGCGGGGCCTGTGGCTCAGCTCTGACGCCCTCACCAAGGCCTTCGACGCCACTGACTTCGATGTGACGAAACACCTGGGCACCCTGCAGCGGCGGCACAGCGGGGGCGAGGAGCAGGTTTATGTGGCGGAGGACAGCTCCGTCGCAAGAGCCATCGTCAACTACGCCAAAGACCCAAAACTCAGAGAAAGGTCCGCGCAATCGCTTCCTGTCCCTCTGTCTTGGCCTGTATGTGCGCTATGTGTCTATCCAGGGTGTTCAATCTGTCGTCGCAGAGCAACCAGGAGGTGGAGTCTCTGCTGGTGGAGCTATTGTCCACTCGGCAGCAGCTGGCACAGTCGAGGGGTTACCAGAACTGGAACCACTACAGCCAGAGAGAGGGCATCCTCAGGCAACCGTCACAGGTGGAAGGCTTCCTTAGCGACGTGCTCGAAGGCCTCAGACCTGGTATCGACGGCCGGATGGATGGACACAATCGATTCAGCAGGAGATTGTGTGCACAAGTGTGGACGCAATTTGATGCAGGTATAGCGTGCGAGCTGGAGACGTTGTCTCGGATGAAGAGGGCCGTGGAGGGCGGCGGCAAGGGGGACGGACTCATGCCCGCCGACCTCCACTACTGGACCAACGTCTATAAGAGAAAACACGCCGCCGACACCGCCGACAAAATGAAGTCAGAGGGAGCCAGACAGACACAGACACAGACACAGACAGACAGGCAGGCAGGCAGACAGATGATATAAGCTATGGCCGTCCTCTCTGTCTCTGTTTGCCCCTGGCAGGCCCTACCTAACGCTTTCTTCTCTGTTTGCGGGGGTCCGGCATGTGCTCTCGCATCTGTTCGAAGTGGACCTGCGGCCCACACCAGCACACCCACGCGAGCTGTGGCACTCAGACGTCCTCAAGTTCACCTTGCACCCCCTCAACGCGCCACAGGACGGATCCTCGGTGCCCCTGGGCACCCTGTACGTCGATCCATGGGACCGGCCTGGCAAGAACGTCGACTCTGCACAGTTTACTGTGCGGTGTTCCAAGAACATGGGCTGGTTGAGGGAGCACGGCATCAGTCTCGGTGGGACGCTGCAGGACATGGGTGTGGTGGACGGCTACCAGACGCCCTGTACAGCCCTGGCGCTGCGGTTGTCCCCGCCGGCGCCCGCTCTCTCGTTTTCAGCGGCCGATCGGATGAAGGGCACGTTCGTGAGCGCGGCTGAGGCCAAGAACGTGTTCCATGAGTTTGGTCACGTGACGCACGCGTTGCTGTCCCACACGGAGATGCAGCACATGTCCGGCACTCGAGGGGCGGTGGACTACGTGGAGTTCCCCAGCCACTTGTTCGAGCACTTCGGCAGCGTCCCCGATTGCATCAGTGCCTTTCTGCGGCACTGCCGCACCGACGAGACGATGCCCCAAGAGTTAGTGAATGCCTTCGGAAAGGCAAGACTGTTGTTCGTACACACCGAGAGCGCACAGCAGGTAACGTCCAGCCCTATGGGACGGATGGGACGAGTTGCTGAGCCACCTATCTGTTGCTGTTCGATCTGTCTTTATCTCCCTCGTTGGTTCACGTGTATGTATGACAGGTCTTGTATGCGCTGATCGACCAGGGGTTTTACCATTATGGCAAGCCCCCTTTTGGCGTGTCTGCAGTGCAGTCGCACCTGGCGTCCTATCTGCAGACCTTCGGTGCCCTGACGGCTCACCCCACTGACGCCGCCCCCGCCCCCCTCCTCTCGTACCTCTCGCCCCCCGCACTCGCCACATTCGACCACCTCGTCCACTACGGTCAGTTAGCACCCACGCGTAATAGAATGCGCGAGCATGAGAGGGGGGGCTTCCATATATCCATGTATCCATCCATCCGTGAATGGGTGTGCTGTGTGTGGTGCGTGGCAGGTGGTTCGTACTACTGCTACCTATACTGCCGTGTGTTGTCTTCCTACCTGTGGCACGCGGGGTCGTTTGCACACGGCGACCCGTGGGCGCGGGACAAGGGCCGACGGCTAGAGGCCATCTTCCGCAGCGGCAGTGTGACGCCCACGCTGGGCAGTGTGCTCACTCTGGTTGATGGAAGTGCTGTGGACACCTGTGAGTTTCGTGTGAGTGAGGATGCGCCGGAGAAGATCCCACTGGAGCCGTACTTACGAGACCTGAGGCAGGGCCTGCCGGCCGGAGACTGAGCGAGTGAGTGAGAGGGGAGTGAGTAGTGATGACTTGGACGCCTTTTGCCTGGCATTCGACGTAGACACGTGCCCCATGTAGACACGCATTCAACATATTGATAGGAAGCGAGTCCGATACCAAGCCCATATTCATCGCCCACTCATCAGTTTCGATAATCCTCTCTCTTCATCTCCCCAAGCGGGAGTGTGTATGTGTGTGTGTGCGCGTGGTTCGCTGCTTGGCTGACACCACATGCAGACAACACACACAACACTGATATAGGATATACACACTCTCTCACGTATATGCACACCTGCCACCTGTGGAGCTATACATGCACAGCAGAGAAAAGTTACCGCCCCTTGTAATTCTCCGTGTAGTTCTGCAGCTTCCACATGGCGCCCCGCAGCATCGACAACCCGTTGTGGAATTCGGCTGTGGTGGCATTCACAGCCGCCAACGTCGTTTTCGTGCCGTTGTTGAACACGAGCACAGCCGAAGTGACGTTTTCAGAGAAGATCGCCGACACGTTGCTGACGGACACGTTGCCGAATATTTGAAGTGTGTCGCGGAGTGCCGTCGTCGCCTCCGTGATGACGGTAGGTGCTTCGATGGTCAAACTTTCCGTGTGCCACCAGGCGAGCCCAAAGAGGATTAGCACAAGGACCAGCATGATGCAAAACTGCTTTTTACCAGAGGAGGCAGCCGTCACACACGAACGTGCAGATTATTTGCAGAGGCTGTTGAGGGTTCGCCAGCCATCTGAAGAATCGTTCGGCTACCCGATCAGCCGCCGCCAGTTCTTGCACCGCTCTCGTTGTGCAGTAGATGAAAGCGAAAGTAAAGCCGACGCGATGACCTGGTCCACGAGCTTGGGGCGTTGAATCCACGTGTGCGGCAGGTAGAGGGTCACTATGGCCGCCGCAATGCACCCAAGCGCGATCCACAGCCATCCCACCGCCTTCCACGCTGTTGCAGGGAACTTACGGTTCCAGACGTCATCTTCTAAAGTCGCTGGAGTCGGTGGCGCTCCTCCTCCATCTTCTTCGATCTCCACAGACTCCATTCTCCGCCGAAGAAGGTGTCAAGCAGCTGTTCCACTCTGACCAGGTCACTCACAGCCCGCGGATTATTAAATTGCACCCAGGAAGGTTTCACGGAGGTGAGGAGAGGCGATGTGGCGCTACCCTTTTTCCTTTCACCGTGTGTTTGACCTCGACCAACGCCCGCCACGTGGTTTCCCGCCCAAGTGGAGAGGGCCCTTTCCCGAAGAAGTTGATGGCTACAAGGACGTCCTTGTGTACTATATGGACAAGGAACCCAAAATATGTCGCTTGCCCGAGTACGAGATGTACTGTGCGTCCGGTGGCTCACCGCGGTTTGCCAACGACTATGCTATGCGGCTCATATGGAAGGAGCTTCGGGAGCAGGGACTCGAGTGCTACAGGATGGTGCGGTTCGTAGACACATTTGGGTATGACTTACAGCCCGTCCAGCTGGAGCACCACCAGGCCTACGGGCTCTGGCTCGGTGAGGACGGGACGGACACATGCACCCACTCACTCACGGACCACACGAGGCACACAAGATGCAGACAGGAACGCATAGGCAATCGACCCTCTCTCTTTCCATATGTGTCTGTCTGTCTGTCTGTCTGTCTGTGTGTGTGTGTGTGTGTGTGTGTGTGTGTAGGTCCGTTGTGGTCGGCCGAGAAGGAGACCGAGTGGCGGAGAGACAACGCACCTGCTTTGGTCAAGTGGTGGCGGCGCGTCACTCAGAGGAGGCACCGACCAGCCGACGACGAGGCAGCGGAACCACTCGCCGAGTAGCTATAGACAGCTGGGAACAGGTGCAGGATAGGACAGGGGACAGGGAGAGAGATAAAGATAGACTTGGTCTGTCGAAGGCGCGCACAGCTGTGTCTGTGTCAAGTCCATGAGTGCCAGGGCCAGATTCTCGACAGCCACACTTTTGTGACTCTTTTATATTTAGTCTGTATATAACCGCCGACCAATGCCCACACGACCCTTGGGCCCATGACTGACTGCAGCCAGTAGCTAAGGGTGTGCCTCTTCAGCGTGCTTGCTCTTTTCTGCTGCCCCCCGCTGTGTCTGTCGCCCTCCTCCCCGGCTGTGTCTGTCTATCTCTCTGTTGGGCCGACGTGGGCCGAGGACTGCGGCGGATTCCACCTGATGTGCCTCGTGTGCGTGGGCATGTCGACATCATGGAACAAGGACCGCCTGCAAAGTATGAACAACGCCGTATGAATCGCTCACTCATCAATTTCGATAATCCTTTCTTCATGCGCAAGCGGGAGTGTGTCTTTCTTTCCCTGAGTATCGAAACACAGACACTCAGCCATGCGATGCATTCGTATGACAACTCAAGTGTCTCAGATTCGCATCGGTCCATAATTCAACTTATGCCCTCACTCATCCATTCGTGGAAAAAGGCGGAAAAGGCTGATAGTGTTTCCTTCGTCTGTCTGTCTCTTCAGGTGGCATGCATGCAAAAAGTGGACGGCACCCGCAAACAGCGCACGCAAAAAGAGGGACGGAAAGTCATAAACGCCGGCTATATATAATGGAGGAGCTGTTGGACTCCCTCGGTCTAATCGGACTGATTGATGGACGGGCGGATCACACTGTGGCTGCCATGGCGCACAGACAGACCAACAGACAGGTGAAAGGGTGAGTCATGTGTGCGCTTGTCTGTCTGTCTGTCCGTCCGTCTGTCTGTCTGTCGGTCGGTTGCTGACTGGATGGCTCACATGTAGTGAGTTTAGTGAGTTAGATGGTGCAGCATCGGTGTCCGTCGGGGCCTGTGATGCACCTCGTCCACGGGGGAAGGTGGCACTCCCCGTCATGCCTGCAGGTCATACAGAGGGTGCCCTGCAGTTGACGAACGCGAAGAGAGGAGGAGGCCCCCTCGGAGGCCGCCGTGGGCTGTGCACTGGGGGACCGGGGGTGGCCGGCGCTGTCATCTGAACAGTCACAGACAAACAAACAAACAGACAAACAGACAGACAGACAGACACACAGAGACAGACAGACACCGGAATACTTATACAGTGAAGACATGCAGGGTAGGATTGCATGGGTGCGTACGTGGGTCAGCTGACGTGGGAACGACACAGAGAGCCATCACCACACCGAGGCAGAGCAGCAACAGAGACACGCGCGACACAGACGACATCGTGGCTGGTGGGTAAAGGAGCGACTAAGGTGATCAATCAGATGGACGCAAAGGGCAGCGCAAGCAGCTGGGAGGGAGGGAGGGAGGGAGGGAGGGAGGAACCAACAAGCTCCAAGTATGTAGGGAGAAAGGGATATTGGATTGGTGGACGATGGATGGCTCAAAGCACATTCAGGCGTCTTAAGAGAACCGCACGTCGCTGTCTCCGGGCGGAGACCTGTCTTCGCGGGAGAGCGCGGCGACTTCGAGCGATCCGCGAGAGAGAAGTCTCGAGAAACACACCAAACAAACGCACAGACCTCACTGCACAGCGAGCCCTAGCTCCACCGACGCCGCAGCCCCTTCCAGAAGGGTTGCAGCTGCATCGTAAGCATCTAGGTTAGAAAACTATGTGAATTGCAAAGAGTTTTCTGACTTTCCTCGCCAATTTACCGCACTCTCAGAGATTTGACCTTTTGCGAGTGCGCACGCTGACTCAACGTACCACGAAGGTGTAGGGGGGTGAAACGGTGGACTTGCCCAGATTTGATGAATGGCGGCAACTGAATGGATGAAACTCTTGAGATCTGCGGTATAATGGCCGCCGTCCGCCGATGAGCGATCACTTAATGATTGACAAAACACGGGGAGGGCGGGAGTATTGTTGGCAATCAATGTCTCCGTCTCGCAACGCACACTACTGCATAGCGGCCAGCCAGCACCAGACTTCATCCATCCATCGCTCATTCACAGCAAATCTCGCGAGGCCTCGTACGTCTTGTTGGGATCATACTGAGCACAGAAACAGACACAACAGAGAGAGACGCACATGCAAGATGTGATGTGCTCGCGTGTGAGTCCCCGAGTGCTACATCTCTCGACTGACCACTTCCCAAGTAGAGGCCGGGTAGATGTGTTTGTTCCTCTCGTACCATTTCCGGTCCACTATCTTGCCTGCGTGCGACTGCACACACGCAGCATTCAGGAAACGAAGAGGCAGCGACACTCCACTCCCTGACTCAGGGACGTTTTGGTGTGTGTATGCGCGTGTTGTGTGCTGCGGACCTCGTCTTTCTCGACCCGGACGTCAGCGTATATGCGGATGTCGTCAGGCACGTCGAAGCGGAACAGGGGACCGGTCTTGCCACGCGCCTTGTTCTTGATCAGATCGTAAAAGGTCACCGTCTGCGCACACAATAAGGCCACAAAGTACGCCATCGACACCCGATGTTGGCTACTCTCTTGGACTTGACATGACTGGCTGACATACGTACGTGTGGCAGTATGAGGTCCTCCTTGATGTACATGAGGTTGTCAGTGCCCACTTGGCGCAGCTCGGGGAACTCCACCTCCAGGTTCTTTCGACACTGATCCAGAAAACTCCCAATCGTTGTCCCTGCAGACACGCATGTATCAATCACCAACACCCACCCACCCACCATGCACTTCTTTCTTTTCTCCCGTCTGTCTGTCTGTCTGTGTGTCTGTCCATAGCAACGCACCTTTGGTTATTCTGATGATCCTCCTGTGGCCCGAGCCGTCCCAATACGAATACGTCACCTCCAACACCTCCTCTGAACACACACACAGAACAGACAGAGGCGCCTCACCTTCAGCCACGTATTTATGAATGCGCCTCACCCACCTTTGATTCTCTCCTGCTCGCGTACGTACTCCTCAATGAGCTGCTGGCGGTGCGCAGCCAATGCGGCGTCGCGATCAGGGTCCTGAACAGCCCAACACACGCAGGTATCCACCCGATGGGCTTTCTCTTTAGAGATTGCGGCGTACCGGGAGCATGTCGGTGTTGACGTGTGGGTCTTTTCCCAAGTGCTTCTTCCCCGCCGCCTTGCGGATCTCCTGCTCTACCTCCTGGTCAGCTGCAGACAGACAGACAGAATGTGCAGCATGAGCGTGTCCGCATCGAGCATGTGCATAGGGAAGTGGCTGACCTTGGTCGTCAGCGTCCTCTCCGAACGACAGTTTGCTGAGCTTCGTCTTGCCCTTGCGGCGGGCAGCGCGCTCCTTCTCCTTTTCCTCTCTGAATGACAAAGGCGCACAGACAGTGTCGTGTGGACGGACGGACGATGCAGCGCTGTCTTCATTGATTGTCGGTTCGCTCACTCTTTCTGCCGCTCGTGCTCTTCCATGAGGTCAGTGATCTTCTTGCGCTTCTCACGAAACTCCTCAGCCGACACCAAACCGATGGTCTCTTGCTTGAACCTGTAGACACGCACACCACACCGACACACGTCAGCTCTGCCTCTCAATCCACCTTTTGACGCTGACCGCACGAACTCACTTTTCCTCGAGCGCTTCAGCGTGTGAGCCTCCGAACTTGCTGTCGATGGCGGAAAAGGTGCGTTTCTTGGTTTCGTTTTCAATCTTCTCCTTGGCCTGTTCCATCTCCCGCTGTAGCTTCTCGCGCTGCCTGAGGAGGAGGAACGCCCGTCCACCTTCGGACGAGTGGATGGTCTGCAGCATGCTATTGGCGCTGTCATAGCGAGGGTCAAATGACGTCTTCATTGCGAGGAAGTGGGAGAAGTTGGTTGGCTATTCAACGCACCCTAACCCTGGCGTGTAACTCTTCGTCTTTTCACTTCTTAGGTGGCATTTTGTGAGGCTCTGTACCAGAATCTGCGCCTTTATTCGATGGGCGCTGAAGGCTCTAAGAGCACTCAGGCACGGCCACACCACCCGAAGGGAAAGCAGGAAGAGCCACCCTCACAAAGCCGTCCCGCCAACCACAGCGGACGAGACACTGCCGTGGCGAAGGGAGACGGAGGTCATCCAGCTCCAGCCCAAAAGGCCGCTTATGACAAAGCCACCAAAGCTGCAAAAGCTCCGTTTATGACGCCCACAAACATCGGTAAGGAGCAAAGCAAGAAAACGAGACTGTGTGTATGTATGTGTCTGTGTTGATCTGTTCAATTGCTCCAGGGAGTGATGAGCTGTTTAGTGTGCTGCTGAGCCACTGGGACATACTTGAAGATCGCTGCGCCTCGCCGTCATTGCAAATGCTGATGGGGCACAATCAGGGCGAGAGACAGGGATGAGTGAAAGAGTGATTCATGATTGGGTCTCGTGGGGCTTGGATTAATCCGTGGGCATTCTCTTTCGATGTCATCTCCTCCTGATGTACATAGCTGACTGGCCTACACCCGGTTATCTCTCAAGAAAGAGAAAGAAAGAGAAGCAGTATACGAGCAAATGACTTAGCAACAACAGCAACGCTCTGCCTATCGATCTGGCCATCCATCTATCCACAAATGCCAATCAACAAAGCTACCACGGCAGCAGCCACCCTCCCTTCATCTTTGGCTTGCTTTTCTCTCTCCCCTCCTTGTTGGCTGCAACCGGGCGCTTCTCTTTATCCATCACATTCTGCATCAGCTGGCTATCACGGGGACGTTCCTCGCTCCTCTTGCCATTTCGCAATCGTATAGCATCCCTTGCCCGGTTGCGCACCCAGTCTGACGTCTGCCCTGCTCTCTCGACTGCCCTCCGCCACACACGCCGAGCCGTACGACGCACCTGCAAACAGTGTATTCGAAATACTCCGTGTGAGTGTCCGGTATCGTGCCTCACGTACCCTGTATCTGTCGTCAAGTTGGGACATGCGCTGGCGCACCTGAAACTGCATCCACAGCCCAGCCAACACCATGCACTCGCTTCTCGATGTGCGAGAATGGGATGCGGTCACGTCCTCCTCACTCACTCACCTGCCTGTCGATCTGCTCTAGTCGCTCGAACCCCTGACGGTACAACCTCGCGTAGAAGCGGCGTGTCTGACAGACAATGTGCACCGATAAACACAACACATGTATCGCTCGTCTGCCAAGCCTCGCTAACCTGCATCTTGAGCCAGAGGTCTTCAGCGAAGTAGACGAGGCGATAGAAGGCCAAGAGCAATGTGCGGCCCATCGCACGTAGCCACGAGGGTAGTCTTCCCTTCTTGTCGCAGCTATTCACCCCCCAAATGACGCCTAACGCAATACCCAGCAAGCTCTGGTCGAACAGCTGCGTACACGCTCGCCAGAGACAATCGCATTTGCAACACTGCTTCTCACATGTATGCATTAAAGTGTTCATTGCTCACTGCTTTTGTGATGACGCCTCCGAACATGCCACCAGCAGCGGCACAGCCGATGAGTGTCTGCTCCTCGTATGAAATCGTCACCATGTTGAGAGCGGCCAGGTGACCAGGTCGGGGCAAGGCGGCCTTCTTGGGAGATGTCAGTGCCGTCTTGGAGGTAATGAGAACCAGACGCTGGATCTCCGCTTGCTGGCTCCTCACAGTGCGCTCGAGCTCATCGGCCTGACGATGAATCAATGCAGAGTAACACAGATATCATTGTGTTGGTTACCCGACCGACCCGCTGACCCGCTTCCTGAGGTCTTCCATGTCACCTTCCCTTGTCGCGTCGTGTTGTGAGCCCTTCGGTTTGGTTCCCGCCTTTGTTGGCAGCAGACCGAGGCGGGTGTGCGGACGTGAGACTCTTTGGATGTTCAGGACAGCGTGGCTGGAAAGATCACGAGGGGTTGGAGGGGGGACTGCCCGCAGGAAAGCCTCGCATGACCTGAGGCGGTCCATCGTGAACAATGGGTTGTGGGCGATGATCACCGGCGCTGGGCTGTGAACCCTGAATCCTAAGCCCTTGGGCTTGGTGAACCCTGAACCCAAGGCCGTCGTTCGCAGCGCACTGCATATCCTCCTGTCTGCTGCATCTGCCCTCTGCGTGCTGCGTGTTTCGTGTCCGGGTTGCATGTTAGGGTGCCTGTTTCATGTTGGACAGACCGACAGGGGACTTGGCCGTCAGGCCACCTAGGGTGCTCCCTGAAACCGCTGCTGCTCCTGAACCCAAGGCACAGGGTGGTCAAGGCCTCATCGTCCGCTTCCCGTCGAAAGGGAGGCCTCACACAAGGGGCAGCAGGTAGGTCAAGCGAGGCCTCACACAGCAGACAGTGACTCAGATCTGGGCAGCGATTCATTCTGTGTCCTCCACGTGTCGTTACGCTCGAACGCTCCGTGGCGACCGCCTTCTCTTTTCTCCCCCCGACGGTGAGATACACAGAGAGGCTCAGACGGACCGCCAGACACGAAAGAATTGAGACATCTGCGTATATCTGTGTCCCAGAACCCCCGGCTTCCGTGCGAGTTGGCGAGGCGTCATGCGTCTTCTTCGGACCATCACCATCACCATTGCCCTTCTCTGTGCCTTGATGGGCATGGCAGCCAGCGGTAACCCATCAGAAAGGCAGGCCATCGAGATCTCTCGGGACGCTGTGTGCTTGATGTGTTGCGCTGGTCTGTGCAGGAGAGTCACGTGGCGAGCCAGTCGCTGCTGCTGTCGCTGGCGAAGGACGGAGTGAGACCAGTCAGCACGGTGTGCACTCACGCAGATGTGTCACACCCTGTCTCTTCACGCATCTTCTTGTCAGGTGCTTCCCTCCGAGGAGGCAATGTGGCAGAGTCTGGCAGAGCATCAGGTCGGTCAACACATCAACAGACGAGCATGACAGACACATCAAAGCGTGTCTGCGTCCCCACAGGCATCAGGGACCTCCAATACTATGATTATGATTATAACGATGATAGTGACGATGAGGATGACGATCGGGACCAATGGAGTGCGGGTGATGGTTATTATGAAGGACCGGCGGGTCAGCTCGACACAGCAGGCGGCGGCTTCAACCAGCCAGATGATGATCATCATCCTGACGATGACGATGACGATGAAGGGGATGACCCGTAGTCTCTTCTTTCTTTCTTTTTTTCCCCTCTCTCCTTCTGCTTTTGTCTCCTTCTGGCTTGACACAGCTCTGTCAGCTCTGCCAATCACACGGGTTTGGGGTCCAACTTCTGGTGGCCGGCCGTGGTGTAGGTAAAAGTGCATTTCTGGCAGAGTCCTGGTTGGGTTGACCACAGGTGGAGGGAGGGAGAGAGGGAAAGAGGGCCGTACACATTTTCATGTTCCCTGAGCTGAGAAGTGAGCGTGTGTCTGGTTGACCGCATGCGTTCGACTGTTTGTTTGTCGATTGCGAATGGCGAGTCATGAGCGAGGAATAACGCTCGTGACACGGCGGGCAAGTTGCCTGCTGTCGATTTTCAGACGATCTTCGCATCATCCTGTCCATCCCATGAGATGCGAAAGTCGACAGCAGACAGATAAGAGCCAGATGGCATGGCACGAGTGAACGGATGCGTCTGTGTGTGTGTGTGTGTGTGTGTGTTGTGGAGGTTTGTTTGTCTGTATGTCTCGGTTCGGCGTCGACTGAAGTGGTGTGAGTGAGCCGACAGGGTGACCGCATGCATAGTGCATGCGGTGGTGTACCTCCAGTCAAAAGTCTCTGAAAGCGTCTCTGTCAGACAGCGAGATGAGCCTGTCGGGTGTGTGTCTACCGTGGCTTTCGGGCTGTGTGTGTCTGTCGGGTCGTACGTCGTTCGTGCTGTGGATGAGTGTGGGGGTATTCCTCCTCTTTCTGTCGGTCGGGTGTGTTATATGTGGTGAGTGTGTGTGTGTGTGGGCTGTGCGCACCCCACAGAGAGAGTGGGCGTGTTGGCTGTGCACGTGTGAGTGGGAGACAGGTCAAAATGTCCACATCACGTGTGTGTCGTGTCGGACGGACCTTGATATCGATGTGTGGATGCTCAACTGAGCAACTGCAGCTCAATGACATGCGTATGCAGCACCACCGTCGTGTCTATCGAAACGCATCAACGCAGTCAGTAAAGTGAGGGCCTGGTGGGCGGGCCGTCGCATGGCTGCCTGCGCGCCGCTTCTCTGAGACACGACCAGCCGAAGTGATATTCCCCCACACGTCACAGCCGCCTCAAACAAGTCACAGCCAGCTACCGTCAAAGGGGCATCAGAAAGCGTGTAAATGACTAATGTTCACACTCCCGGACCTCATTGCAATGATGAATGAGCTCGAGTAATTGATTGAGTGGTCAGTCTTAACAGATATGGCGCTGGCTGGACCGACTGACTGACTCCTCTGACAGCGGTTTCAATTTACGTATGTGCCGTTACGTGTACCCTTTCGCTGATGATGTTCCGCCTGCTGCTTGTGGCTGCCGCTTCCGTCGTCATCTCGGCGAACGGTTTTGACGTGCGCGACCCCATTGCTCAGCTTGTCAACAGGGTGATCGATGTCACAGGGACCGGCAACGAGCAGGAGGACACCGCCCACGCCATTGACAAACCGGCAAAGAAACATGCCACGAAAGCGTCAAGAGGTGATACCTTTCTGTCTGAGTTGTCTGGCAAGCTGAAGCAGCTTGTGGCGCAGTACAACGACACGATGATCCGATGATCCTCGCGGGCAACGGGCGGCTCATTGTTCGGTCCAATAAGGGCAGCAGTCACAATGAAGTCAACGCTGAGGATGGTAGGTGTACTGGCGGGGGTATGTGTGCTGAACTCAGCACGATGGGCTGCAGCTGCTTGTGGGCTGTGCAGGGCCTGACACTAACCTGACGGAGCCGGAGCAGTCTTCCATCCCGTTCTGCCCGGGTATGCACAGATGGGATGGAAGGGAGGCTCCCCACTGGCACCCATCTCCGTGCTTGTCGGTCCTGTGCTTGTCTGCTATCAGCACCCTTTTCGGATCTTTCCTTCACGATTGATGAGGGAGAAAGTGTGGTTCGCTCCATCAGGTGGGACGACGGGGGGGATCGCTACATCGTCGTGGGCATTGACTCCCTGAGAGGGGATGCGGATCTCATCGTGTGCGACGAAGATTCGAGGTGAGTACGGCGTCGTCAGACTTGCATCTTGTGTTTGTTGTGGTCTTCCAGCGGAACAGACACATCCAATTGTGAAAGCAGCAGGGCCTCTTGGGGTTCCGGCTTTGAAGTATGCATACACACACTCCTGAATGTTGAACTTTGGCACTGCGTGTATGCAGGACGTCGTCGTGATTGACACGGAAACATTTAACGGAGAGGATGGCGTCGCAGTCGAAGTAATCGTACTACACAGCACACATGAGTGTGTTGCTGGCAGATACGTGTTCGGCTGTGCAGATCAACTGCGTTGAGGGAGGAGGCAGCAACGACAACTGCCGAGTGGTAGGCATTTGGAATTCTTTCGTGCACGGCTGATGCATGCGATTTGTGTGCGCTTCGTGCAGAATTACGTAGCGTTCCCGCACGACGACTACTGCCGCCCGACGGAAGGAGATTTCGCCGGCGTTGGCATAAGCATCAGTCCGTTTTTTATCTTCGACTAGTGAAAGCATGTGTGTCACTGTCGGTGTCGCCAGCCCAGTGTGTGCCAAAGGTGCATCCTCGACTTCGTTGGAATTCGTCTTCCTGTTCTTCGTGTCGCTCTTGGGTGCGAGAGTCCGTTTCAATCGGTCCGTTTGGTTGGTTATAGGATGGAGTGTGCATGGTCGTAGAAAAGTGCGAACACCGTACATTCAATATACGTGGTCGGACATACGTACGACTCAGCTCAATCAACACGTCGCCGCACACACCCGGCCATGCATTCGGCCAGAATCGCCGCGTTGGCTCCTTCGCGACACCACGGGCTACGGTCGATGTGGACACACCAATTAGGACAAGCAGACGCGGAAATAGGGCGAAAGGGTCCTGAGAGTCGGTTGCCAAAAACAAAGATTGCCTGTCCATAATTGCATCTCTGTCGTACGACGTATGATACACATCAGTCAGTGCGACGGTGAGTCAGTGAGGCGTATCTTCGATGTCTTGCACGTCAGAAAAAATACCGACAGACAACATTCGGAGAAGTCACGCATCCCATCGATATTCCAGACAGACAGACAGACAGATGTGCGCACAGCCGGGCGAGGGAATGAGTGAGTGCCCGACAGGCAGGGATGTAGAGAAAGAGACGCATCCTACGGATGACATATTCGTACCAGAACGGTCAGAACAACTTCAAGTTCACTTTACTTTGATAAAACTGACTTTTTGCTCCAGTGTGGCTTGAAATGACACACTGATGCCTTTTTACACGAGTAGAAACATGACACTGAAGGACATTCCGCCTCGTTGCTGACGATACACCGCTGCGCTGATGAAGGGAGGGAGATGCCAGCAGCATTGAAGAATTGAAGCAGCATATGTGCATTCCTGGGTGCCCCTGCTAGTCATTTAACGAATGACAGCAGTGCTGCACTACCATGCCATTGTTGAATCATGCATTATCATGGGTCTCTTGGTCACGATATCATCAATTAGAATGTCTCTCGGTCGCTACCTGTCCTGTCCTCTCCTGTCGCGTCTCCTCTCCGTCTACAAAAGATGCAATGCATGAAAAAAGGAAAGGCAGAAAAAAGGAAAGGGGGCGGCCGCCCTCCACGTGTGTATCTCTTGCTGTCTCCCTTTATCTCGGTGGTCTCTATCATGTGTTCCCATCCGCCATCCCCCCATCGCCCGCAGCCACCACTGACCCACCGGATAATCCACCCACCTCCGCCTATCTTATCTTATCGTGTAAGCACAAACAAACGACTGGCCGCGCGTGGCAGAGAGAGAGGAGAGAGAGAGAGGGGAGAGGCGAACGCGGTGCGGTTGTGTGGCTTTGAGAGCCCTCTCCACCCCTGCCAGGCAGGCAGGCAGGCACAAGAAGCAGAAGGCAGACACCTCACAGACACACTCACGCATAAAGCACCACACGCAAAGTGGGCCAGCCACGCTGCGGGCGTGTGCGCGTATCCATTTTGGTCACATACTCCCTCACAACACTCACTTGACAAACAGACAGACAGACAGACAGACGGCCCATCCCTTTCCACAGACGGGCATGGACGGACAAAAGAGGCAACGTAACGTATCACGGGCTCGCTGTGGGTTCTTTCTCTGGGGTGTTGATGGGGCATTGCTTGATCTGGCTTGAGATCTGGTGCTGGCTGGGGTCTGTGTCACTTTGGGGGTCTGTCTCGCTTTGGGGTTTGTCCGGGGTGGTGCTGGGGGTCTTGCCGGGTCTGACTGCCCATCCCTCCCTGTGTCTCTATCCCTCCCTCCCTCTCTCCTTCCCTCACTCCCTCCCACACAACACACAACAGACAGTCCGCAAAGAGCAAGTAAGTATGAGTAAGGAAGTGGGCGTGTATACCGACTGACTCTCTCATGCCAACTCACACACATGAACCACGCACACGGCCGCACGAAGAGAGAGAGAGAGAACGAGCAAATGCACACGAGTCTATGCCGCGTACCCGCCCCCTGGTCTATCTGGATGTCGATGTCGCTGTCGCTGTCATTCTCTCACTTGCGCGCCGTCTTGCCCCGCTCATCGCTTCGCTATCCCGACTTCCTCTTCAGCCCTCTCGGACGCGGCGGCGAGATCGATCGGTCTCGGCTGTTCGTATTTGTGAGCAGCGGCGGCTGCATGCGATTCGGTGTGCGGGATGGTGCGGCCGCAGCAGCGGCAGCAGCACCCAGATGGCCGAAGGGCGGCAACGGTGGAAACATGAACGGCTGCTTAATGAATGGCGGAGGTGGCTGGGCGATGACGGCCGCTGCCGCAGCCGCTGCCGCGGGCACGTTGAGGACCTGGTCCTCTTCCTGCAGGGCCTGGGCCATCTCGGCATCTTCCTTGATCTGGTCCTGTCGTCGGACCTCAGAGATGGCATCGACGAGCGCTCTGCCGCTGTCACGTCGCTGGCTGGGCGAAGGTCGGGCAGCGGGGCCGAATGGGCCGGGCGACGACGGGGGTCTCACGTCAATGGGCGACGAAGGACCTGACAGATGGAATCCAAAAGGGAGACACAATGGAGTGGATGTGTCTCTCTGATCTGCCAGTACACACTACATGCTAACCTTCGTTGCGATTGGGTGTGGCGGGATGGTAGGCGGCTGCGGCCGCTGCAGCTGCGGCGCACGGGGAAGGCCTGCCACGACAGACAGACAAGGGCACAGAGGCGAAGGAACATGTACCAATCGAGCTGTGTCTCTCTCACGGCTCATTCCTTTGTGTGTCTTATGTACTTGCTGTACTTGGGAGGCTATCCTCTCCCCTTTGGCCATGTACGCCGACTCGGTATCAAAAATCGACTTGCGTGGGGGGCTGTTGATCGCCGCTGCCGCTGCAGCAGCAGGGGATCCCGAACGGTCTCCGGCGTGGGCCTGGCCGTTGGGTGTGGCGGGGCGGTAGGGCGTCTTGGGGCCGGCAGCCGCAGCAGCAGCACACTGGTGCCGGAGGGCGATGGCGGGCCGTCAGATGACGGAGGCCGCAACGGCGAAGGGAAGCCGTCTGCAACAAAACGCGATGCGTCGACCACTGAAGCCGCCGCTGCGGCCGCGGCCGCATTGCCAAACGGCAAAAACTTCTCCTGCCTGGATATGCGCAAGACACAGACAGACACACAGACAGACAGACAGCCAATGAGAGGAAGGAACAGTTGGGGTATGTACCCCATAGAGCAAGATCGTCTGTCTTCAGTCTTACTGTCTCAATATGGTGCCCGGTGGCTGGCCGTCATACCCTCCCCCCACCCCACCCATCACGACCATATCTGCCTTCTCTCCGCTTGGCCATCGATGGCCATTTTGTCTCGGTCGTCCGCTGAGCGCTCGAAGCCCGCGGCGGCCGCGGCGGCCGCGGGAATGAACGGCGATCGGTTCTCCTGCCTGGAGGCAGCGAGTCATGGCAGCACACAGACAGAAAGACAGACAGACAGACAGACAATGAAAGGAAAGATCAGTGAAGGTATCCCGATTGTCTGCCTTGTTGTCATGGGAGCCTTACTTGGTGCCCGACAGCGGCGCGTGATACCCTCCCCCCAATCCCCCCAACCCCCCCATCACGACCATGTCTCCCCGAGACCCACTCACACCGTCGGCGCACTTCTTGCCTCGGCCGACCTGTTGCGGCTGGATGCAGCCCGCTGCTGCCGCTGCGGCCGGCTGCCTCTGTCGGCGGGCAGTGACCAGCCGATTCATCTCCTTCTGCAACGGCTCTTCGTCCCCCTCGTCCTTCACCACCTCGCCCTTGCATCCCTTCCCGCCCACGGCACGCCGGCTGTTCGGATTCTGTTGGTGAGCAGCAGCGGCGGCGGCTGATGTGGCGCGAGAGGTCTTGTTGGGCCCCTTGGCGGCGGTGCCATGTCTTTGCTGTGGCCCGGGGACTTCAGGCCCAGCTGGATGGGCAGAGGTCAGGTCAGCCCCGTTCTGGGACTTTGTGGCGGCAGCAGCCTGATGGATTCGAATCACAGGCAGGGAGCAAGGACATACAATGCCATCCCATGAGGGGGGGCCATGCACTGGGCCATGCAGCTTTCATGCATCGGCGTCTCGGCGAGGGCGAAACGCCCATATTTGCCCTTTTTATGCACTGGTCATTCACTCTCCTCACCTGTGAGCGTGTCTGCACCACCATCCCGGCAGACGACTGGCAATACCACTTGGAAGACTCCTCCCGTGAGAGCAACACAACTCGAACACGGGCGATACCACTTGGAAGACTCCTCCCGTGAGAGCAACACAACTCGAAGACTGGGGATACCACTTGGAAGACTCCTCCGGTGAGACGCCCCCATGTGAAGTGTTTCACGCGGGTACTCCCCCAGGCCCCCAACAGGCCCCAGCTTCAGTGCGACGGGAGTCAGTGAGGCGTGTCTTCGATGTCTTGCACGTCAGAAAAAATACCGACAGACAACATTCGAAGAAGAGAAAAACTGTCATTAACCGTAACACTCGTCTGTGTGTCCGTGATACTCATACAAATACAGTCCCATCAGCACGCAGACTCAAACAGGCTCAAGGGGAGGAGGGATCAATCCCCGCCCCATCAGCACACCCCAGTCCCGCAAACCCTCCCCTCCCTCCCCCACGCAGACAGAAACACAGTTAGTGCAGAGGCGCTTGTGATTCCGGCAGTCACATCGTCGGCTGCATGTGGACAGCGCAGACGTCCCTTTCTCGTTGCATGCGCAACAGGGGGGCCCGCCGCCGTCTCGCGGGATGAGGGTAGGTGGAGGGGGTTGGGTGTAGTCCGATACACGCTCGCTCATCCGAAAAGGAGGAGAAACAGCCGAGAAATCACCAACTCAATCATGGGGGTAAGTAACCTCTAGTGGATTACACACACATTCGAAGAAGTCACGCATCCCATCAATATTCCACACAGACAGACAGACAGACAGACAGAAAGATGTGCGCACAGCCGGGCGAGGGAATGAGTGAGTGCCCGACAGGCAGGGAGGTAGAGAAAGTGATGCATCCCTACGGATACCAGAAGTGTCAGAACAAATTCAAGTTCACTTTAAACAACTTGATAAAACAGACTTTCTTCTCAGAAACGGACTTTTTTCTTCCAGGTACAATGCGATCAGTAAGAATAGGGACAGCTTGCAGCAAGCGTAACCCTCGTGACGTGACACTCACATGAATACAGTTCCATGAGCACGCAGAGTCAAACAGGCTCAGTGAAAAAGAAGGTTTGTGAATTTCTGAAATTATGCTTGCGTTTCTCGTCGAGAGATCTCTGCCCCCCCTTGAAGGGGCTGCTTTCCATGCCGAAAACCGACCCCCGCAGCACCAAGACACCCGGAAAGAGCCAATACAAGCACCGACCAATGGATGTGTTGATTGATGTATAGATCTACCTACCTACCTGCTCTGTGCCTCTGTCTCTCTGTCTGTCCCGTGTGTGTATGGAGTGTCTGAAGTAACGTCTGTGTCTGTGTGTGGATGTCTTCTTCCCTTTTTTTTACTTTCTTTCTTTTTTTTTGTCGCCTGAGCTGGGCCGGGATGGTTTTCCAGCCACGTTGTCGCGACCTGTTTGATTGCTGAACAGAAAAGACACATGTCTCTGCCTGCCGTATCAACACGAATACACACAATTCACCTTCTTCCCATACACACACCATGCACACGTATGCCCATGCGTACAGACATGCGCGCATGGATGCAGAGACCATGAATCATGCAACGATTACTTGCGCCTCTGTCCCAGTCAGGCCCCTCCCGCCTTTTTGCCCCTTGCTCCATTGCTGTTGCTGCTGGGTGTAGTGTGTCCTTTGGCAATAATGCTGACGCATCCACAACTCAAGCAGTGTCATGTCGAGCGCATCGCCGGCGACCGGACGGAAGTGGTATGCAAAGTGCCGCCGCACCTTGAAGAGGTGCCTCTGCTTGGCCACGATTTCCTCCCTGGTGGTGCGCTGCAAAATCGCCGCCGTCTCGTTGGCGCGCTCCTCAGGGATGAACACGGCCAGCATCGTCCAATCCCACACACAACCTGTTTACATACATCACACATGCATACGGCTTGGTATTGACCTTGGTATTGACACGGCTGGCATTAACTAATGTATCAATGTGCTTTCATTCATCTAGAGCGACCTTGTGGGAGCCAGTAGTAGTCGGCAATGACAACGGGGATGCACGTGTACCAGATGGCCTCAATGATGCGTGGGCTGACCACACGCGAGCCGCGCGGGCAGAGGCAGAAGGTTGAGGACGAGAGGTACCTCGTGTAGTCGGAGGGGTCCACATGAGACGTGTAGATGGCCGTCGGTGCCGATACACCTGACAGACACAACCACACGCGAGCCCCGGTCAATCAATGGGTGGATGGGTGTTTTCCTTCCCTCCATCCGTCCTACATGCCTTTGAATGAGTCGAGGACTGCCGGTCTGACGATCTCGCCCCTCTTGCCCTTGCCAGCGTTGCCCGCGAAGAAGGCCAGATATTGCCGGGGGCCCAGAAGGCCGCGCGCAGACGAGTGACCCTCATCCACCTAATGACAGACAGATGCATTGCATCCAATCCATGGGTGTAGATATGCGAGGGACAGACACTGAGTGATCCAAACACCAACCCACGGCCGTGCGGACTGAGGGCTGCTCACGTCAGGATTGAGGTTTCTGCCGATCCTGAGTGCCTGCTCCGCCCTGGCAGCGTGACCACAGGGCACGATGGACACGTCAACACGCGGATCGTAACTGCATGAACAGATGGATGGATGAGTGGTGATCCGTCTCCATTCGTTGCCCTTCCTCGAGCATTCACCTACCCGTAGGGCTTCCTTATCTTGACTTTTCTTGCTTTGAGAAAGGCCTGGCCCTCCCCGCCGCCCTCAGTGGGCTCAAACATCTACACATCACAGACAGACACGTCACACAACACATGTCTGGCAATGAATTGCCAATGAATGAATGAGTCTCGTGCGTACGTACCTTGTACCATTCGTTAGGGTTGGGGTTGGTCGTCATGGTGGTGGCGTTGACCACGAGGCTCTCTCCGCCCCACGAGCTGTACTCGGCCTTGCCGCCGTCGTGGCTTATCACCCAAAAGTGACCTCGGCCATACTGCCTATAATGCAAATCCAGCCATGTGTGAGGGACTGGCACAGCCCCTCTCTGATCTCTCGGGGCATTGATTCGTCAGTATTTGCCTTAGCTCAGTTACTTGTCGTAGTAGGGCCACTTGCGCCTGACGTATTCGACGGTCTCCTTGACCTGATGCGCAGCCAACTTGCCACCTGCAGACACCAGCGACATTCGGTGGGTGAGTGAGATAGGCTATCTTTGTGTTTGCGATGCATTATGTATGTCGCCTACCGGCAGCCCTCTCGCCGCCTGCCAGTTCGGCCGCCAGGGTCTTGTTGACGTACTTGCGGCCGTAGAAGTTGGCCGTCGTGGGAAATACTGGAAGCTGATACGCATTCGCCAGATCGGAGTCCGTCACCCGCAGAGGCGACCCGCTGATCTGAGTCCAGAAGACAGATTCTGCACGACAAGCAACACCACACAATTAACATGCGTAAAGCCACGGTATATATTCACATGACTGACCGACTAGATAAGCGGAGTTGCGTGCTTTGGCCACGGTGTCGCGCGAGAAGGTGGGCGGCACCTCGACAAATGGTGGTGGGGGGTACTGGAAGATCCGGAGGCCGCCCTGCTCGATGGGGCGGTGCATGGCGGCCAGCAGCCCGTCGATGGCCCTCTTGTACTTGTCGACCGTTCCCTTGTTGTCATTCGAACCGTACTTGGCCGTACTCGACACGAAGTCCGGCAGACCTGACACACATGACACATGACAGACCGATGCATGGACAGATCCCCAATCGTTCATTCATTCACTCACCGGCTTGGTCGATGACGGGATTGGCCATGCAGTGGCATATCTTGAGGTCAATCTCCAGCGGCACTCCGTCCACAAGAGCAGACGACGGAAACCATAACCGCCCATCCTCGCCTTTCGCCTCTCCGTTCGCATGAGTGGCGTGTACATCTCTGTCGGGCTTCCTGCGCGGTGCCGAGGGCGCCTCGCGTGCGAGGTTGTTTCTGAGTATGACGTAGATGTTGAATGCGAACCAGGAGATGAAGAGTGTGGCGAAGATGGCGGCGATGAAAAAGCGGTGGAGCGGCTTCGCTGTGCTCAAGCCGGGGCGCTGAGGATGAATGCGATGCATCCCGCGTGTTTGTGTTCGGCCCGTTGTTGTCTTCCTTTTTTTTCATCAAACAAAAGACTTGGTGAAATGAACTGCTCTTCCGTTCCATGTGGTTTCTCCGGCCCCCGCCTGTTTGCCCTGAGTGTAATATGCGACGTAACGTGAATGGCAGACGGCGCCCAATCAAGGCGCGCTCACGCGGTTGTCCTCAGTGGTAAGGGCCAATAGCCGCCCCCCCAACCGAGGACATACATGTCACCTTGGTTGACCGAGTTTCTTCGGGTACATGTGCTTTTATGTGGTGTCGTGGTCTCTTGTTTGCGAAGTGCATGAGGGCCTGGTCTGTGGACGTGTTCGAGTGTGCCGGTGAAGAACCAAACAAATTTATTGGTTCTCAACACACCCTAAGCTGGAGGAAGGAGGTGGTGGTGTTGTTGTCTGTTGATGGAAACGTTGTCCGGTGGAAAGACAGGGGAGTTAACCTTCCCTCTTTCGCTGACGAGAAAACGCGAGCTTGAGACGGAGGAGAGAGAAAAAGGAAAAAAGTTAATGCAGATGGACGTTCGGACAACGGCGCTCCATGACATCCAACAACGCCCGGCTGTGTGAGACTGACGCACGTCACCACGAGGGCCCGACCACTCTGGCCTCCGCAGAGGCGAAGCGGCTCAATCGGGGCGGAGAGGAGGACGACAGAACAAGGACAACGTGGAGTGCTACAAGAACAAAGTACGGGAGAGGAGCTGAAGGAGGGGGTGTATGACAACTTCGATTTTCACGTGTAGGATGGTTCCTGCAGGGCTGATGTGTCGGATGATGCCCTCGCTACTGGTGTGATCTCCGGGGGCAAAATACACTACGAGCTACTGAGTGAGTGACCAAGCATGACATAGGATGGGTGATACGTGAGTATGCATGAATCCTTGTCTGGTTGTAGCTGATGCCGAGATCGAGGAGCAGGCCAAGAAGGGAGCAGGTGAATGTTTGTTCGCACGTGCCTGCACCCTGCGTTGGTTTGTTTGTTTGATTGTTTGTTTGTTTGTTTGTTTGTGCGTGGCTCAGATGAAGTCACAGCCGACCCCTTTGTCGAACAAGGTGAGGGGGATACTTGAGGGGCATGCACACAAATGACGGTCGGCTTTTTGTGTGCAGGGCAGCTAGACGCCGCCGAGAAGAACCTTCCGGGCCTCATGAACTGGATCTGAACCACCGGAGGGGTCGCCATCGAGTGCGCCAGGGCATGCAACCCGATCACCAGGGTATGCACCAAGATCAAGAACTCCACCAGGGAGACATTCGCCTGGGTTGCGGCCTGGTGGTCTGGAGTGTTCCCTCACAATACGTCTCTGACACGTACGAACAGGAGAGAAAGAGAGCTGCAGAGGGTTGCCCAATGATCGTTTTTTTTTATGTTGTGTGCATTTGCTACCAGCTGGAGCGTCTCAGACGTTTGATGACGAGATCTACTGCCCGTTTCTGTGGCGCCATTGGTGTTTGAGGGACGTGAACATGACCCAGTGACGCCATACGCCGGCGGCTGGTACGGAAGGATGGACTCAATGATCCGTGTCTACAATGGTGAGAAAGGTCATGTTGATGCGGTCAATCAGTTGATAGGCCTTGGAGGCCCCGAGCAGCTTGAGAAAAGAGATGAGGTGCAACTCATCGGCCAGGAAGTTGTCTTACTTTGTCTGGTGTTTCCGGCTGTGTAGAACAACAACACGCCCTTTATTATCGCTGCGGTCTGTGGTCAAGTGGCTGTTGAGGGCGATCCCCGCTCCTGGACCAGCAGGGAGAGGTAGGCAAGGAATCCTGCTACAGACAGATTTGGTTCTCGTACTTTTTCGCCTTCCTTTCCCTATTGGTCCATAGCAAAATAGGATGGAACACATATACTTTACGTCGTCTGTATATGTGTGTCCGCAGCATGGCTACTATGCCATCCACGGCGCAGCTCAGGGGGGGTCATGTTGATGCGGTCAATTTGTTGGTTCAGTTGGGTGGCCGGGGAGAACTCGACAAACGAAATGAAGTGGGGAGGCCAAATGCATGAGCCAAATATGCTTCACAATGTGTCCTATGATGGTTGCAGCTCGGCGACACACCCTTCACGTGCCTTTCCCTATTGAGCTGTAGGCAGAGACCAACACGATCCGTGTGTTTGCATGCATATTTCTCGTTATACGGGGAGTGTTTGCAGGGGGGGGAATGGGACGGCAAAGGGGTACCAAGCCATCGACGTAAGGGAGAGGGATCGTAAGAGGGCGCATGCATGCATTCATGGGAAAAATCGGGTGTCTGGTGTGATTGATGTGCGGCCAGATGTATCGGAGTTTCGCCCACTACCTGTCGGTGCAGGGCTACGAGTTCGTCGAACGGGCCGGCCAGGGCGGGTAAGTCAGTCAGCAAGCCGCCATGACGTGACGAACAGACAGACCCCATAGGCAGGCACACTGCAGTGACTGACCATTGTGTGTGTGTGTTGGTCAGCAATGGGTACGTGTACAAGTCAAGGACCGGCTGTTCGGCACCATCTGGACTGTCAAGACCGTCCCACGCAGCGACTCCCGGTCACTGAGCCATCCATCCATCCATCCATCTCTGTGTGTCTGTGTCTGTGTGTATGTCAGTCAGGACACCTCGATGGTCACCGAGAGTGAATTCGTCGCCAAGTACGCCCGAGTGGTGCGGCTGCCCCCCTGTCGCCATCTCTGCACCACCATGGAAATGGTCCAAAACCACGACTCGTTCTACTCTGCACCACCATGGAGTGGGCACGGGAGTTCTGTATGTCTCGTCGCCTGTTCTTCTATGCAGAGCTGTTGACGCGGCCCCTTTCGATACCAACCTCCACGTGGACGAGGTAGAGGAGGATTTGCACAAAATGTGGGTGGGTGTGTCTCGTACCACGGTGGGCTGCGAGGTTGGGCAATGACAAGGAGCGGGCATCACGTGGATTGTGCCCTCACTGGATGAGCAAGAGGTGCTTTTCGGTACGTCACTGAAGTACACGTGCCCCTCCTACTTTCTGACGGGTGAGAGGGGAGGGAGGGCTGGGGCACAGTCATGCTTCTGATGCACAACCTAATGGATGTGTCTGTGTCTCCAGGCAGCGGGTCGCCGGATTGATTCCAATGCTTCCAGCGCGGGGGAGCTGTGTCGATCAGTTCTGAGAGAAGAGACGAGGTGCCAGAAGCTTCATATCGTTGCTTACATTTTATATTCGTCATGGCTGTTGAACCATATCCTGGTGACCCTGTGAGGTTGGCTGGGCACAGCTCGGTTGTGGGTGGTGGGCGTGTGTGAGTGACCTAAGTGCATTCATTCAGGCTGACCAGCGTCAAGAGAGGGTCCTGCATAGCTATGTATGCATACATGAGGCATGCACATCACATCCACCTCCCTACGAATCTACAGCAGACTTGCATCACGTCACAGACAGGTAAGATACACACAGACAGACAGCAGCGCGGTGACTAATTGTCTCTCTCTCTCTCTCTCTCTCGCCCCTCTCTCACAGTAAAAAGGACTTATTTGCGATCGGTCGACGGATGAATGGGTGAGCAAAGGCAGGCAGACGACGGGTGTGGGTGGACGACTGCCTGTCATGAACAAAAACGCTACAGAAGGAGGAGAGGACATGTGAGTGTGCCATAAACAAAGAAAACGACACACACACACACACGTACACGTGGTGGGTTGATGCGGTCATGCGATGTGGTACGACCGGCGATGGGTGGGACAAATGAGAAAACCCATCCCATGCCGTTTGCCGTTCCACAAGATCCTAGGAAGATCGATCACCCCCGCCACACACACATATGTATACCGGCACGTGTCACGCTGCATAGTACACACAGGTACGGAAGTACATACGAACCTTCTATGTCATATGAGCCGACTACACACACACAGACAGAGAGAGAGACAAGTACCCATGGCCACAGCAGCCAGCCGGTCGTGTGAATGTGTCTGTCTCTGTACCAACCATACGTGTGCAACGGAGTGTGGTATGTACGATGGACCTTCCCCTCCCTCCCTCTCCCCCAGCAGTGTGTGCTAGCGAATTATGCCGGCTCCCAGACAGCCACAGAATGAGCACTACAGACAGACAGACAGAGATGGTTGGTACCCACACCCAACACAATGCACGCAGACAATGCAGGCAGGCAGGCAGGTAGCATCCATTCGTCGTACGGACATTGACTGAATTACACTTACAAAAGGACCCACCCACCCACCCACCCACCCGTCCATCGCTCCCCCCGTTTGTCCGTGCACTCTCTATCTTCTAGCCTATCGACAGACACCAAACACCAGCCAGCCACACGGCAAATGGCATCCATCCATCCATCCATCCATCTGTCTGTCTGTCTGTCTGTCTCATCAATTGGCTTGCTTACGAAACACCAACCAACCAGAGCCAGCCAGGTCCCTGTCTCCTCTGGGTATCCATTCCTGTATAGTACACAACAGGCAGGCAGGCAGGCAGTCAGGGAGGGAGGCAGGCAGAACACCGACAGACAGACAACAGCTTCCTTTCAGCCATCCAGATGCACGGACACACAGCGCATTAGGACCAGAAAAACAGTCAAAAAAGCAAAACCAACAGATAGACAGGCCATCCATCCCATGAAGGCACGCGTCAAAACCTGCCTGTTCACCTAGAGCTGTCTATTTACAGACCCACACACCCACACACGACCCGAGCCGCGGTCGGCTCCCCCTTTCACTCATTCTCTCCTATGCATCTTTCTGCATACCTATGTCTCTATCTCTTAGCTGTGTGTGCACACATCTGTCCATCCGTCCACGGCTATCTATCCCTCTGCTCTCCAGACAGCATCGCATCAAATGACTGGAAAAGACTTGCACCTCCCACAAGGAGGGAGGCAGGGAGACCGAAAAATGCTTCCATCGGTGTACGGAGGCGCATGCACCCCCACCCACACACACACAGATCGTCGCCACGGGAGTGCAAAAAGCAGTCCCTTGGTGGCTATTCCCTTGTTGATGCATCCATCTATCTGTCTAGCCGTGGTGTATGGGAGTGAGGTCGGCGAAGATGTCGTCGGGCGAGGACCTCGGCGGCACACCCGGTGGGCGCAGGGAGGCTGAAAACCCACCGCCCATGTCTGCACACAACACAACATAGCACACGTGTGTTCATGCATTTTGCATCCTTCGCCCCAACCCACCCTCACAGCCTCACTCACCGTTCATGCCAAATTCGCCGCCTGGATGGGTGTTGTGGTGCTGTCCATGGTTCATCTGCATGCCCATGCCCATGCCCATGCCCATGCCGCCCATGCCATAGGCGTTGTCGCCATATGCATCCATCCCCCCCTCCAGCCCACAGCCATAGAGGGGGTTGAGGTCGGGCAGCGGTGTGGGCGTGTTGATGTTCCAGTCGAGCTGTGGGTCGTCAGCCGGCTGGTGCAGGTCGTGTCGCATGCGCTTGTTGGTGGCTGCCTGGGAGGGGTCGAGGGAGAGAGAGCGGTAGGAGTGGCTGCTGCTGGGCTGGTGGGGGTGGGTGGCATGGTTGTCGGCGTCGCCTGAGTGACATACATGGGAGAGAGAGAGGGAAACATGAGTGTGGTGTCTGTCGACTGTGGGGTGGTCATGTGATGGGGTCACGGGCAGTGCACTCCCTCACCATTGCCTTCTCCCGCGCCATCCATCTCCGACGACCGGGGACCTGTTGAAAAGAACACAACCACACACAGACGAATTTACAGCCTCTCTCCCCGTCCCCATAATCATCCTCTCACCACCCACCTCGTATGAAGCTGTCGACCTCCATTCTAAACGACGTGTCGTTGCTCCCCATCCGCCCGTAGGATGGCATCCCACCGCCGCCATAGCCCTCATCCCCACCACCACCACCCTGTCCATCGGCCCATCCGTGCAGCATAGCGCTGGGGTCGCCATCGCCATTGCTCTCATGTGCCAGTGGGGATGGCGTGGGCGGCGGCAGCTGCCCTGAAGTCATGTCATCCGAAGTCTGGAGGGGCTGCTGCTGCTGCTGCTGCTGTTGATACGGGTCGAGCATATTCGGCTGCTGGGGGCCGTCTGGTGTGTCGTCGTCTGCAGGTGTGGGTGGCGGCGCTGCCGACTTCTTCTTTCTCCCCCGCCCGGGCCCGCCAGCCCGCCCTTTGGCCCTTCCGCGACCACCGCCGCCACGTTTGCGGCCTGTGGTAGGGGCCGCAGACGCAGACGCAGCGTTGGTAGCCTCCTCAGCGCTGCTCGCCTCACCCCCTGCTGTGTGGCCATCACCTGAACGCACACAACAACAATGCAGCCATGCGTGTGGTCTGCTAACGTGCACACATACCGCCAGCAGAGCTGAGATTGAGTTGTGCCATGGGCGGTGTGGGTGTCTGTATCTCGCTGTTGTTGGTGTTGTCTCTGCTGCACCCGCCCCCTCCGCCCCGGCCGTTGATGCCCTGCACCAACGCCAGAAAACCGTTGGGCGGACCGGCGGGACCACCAGCCATGAGATTGGGGTCGGGGTGGTGCGGACGAGTGAGCTGATGCTGACCTGCACACAGGTAGGAAGATGGGTGGGTGAGAGAAATCACAGGAGACGAGATGACACAGATCCACCGTGTGTGTTATGTCGTGTACACTCACCAGGTGGCATGGTGACGCTGAGTGCCCTGCTGTTGATGCGAGACCGTGCCATGCCCACCTTGAGCTCCTCGGGAAATATGCCACATCGAATCGGCGACAGCCCCCCGCCGCCCCCATCACTCTCGCCGTCCCCCTCGCCACATGTGGTGCTGCCCGCAAAGAAATCGGGGCACTGTGGCTTCTGGAAGAGCCACTCGTCCGTGTGCATCCGCAGGTGACCGTAGTAGCGGTCTTTGAGGGACTGCGGTGTGCGGGCGGGGAAAGAGTGGGCGATGAGCGGCCAGCTGATGGGGGTGGGACACGACCGGATGATCGACACCAGCTGCTGATCCTCCTCCGCTGTCCACGTGTCCTGAAATGCCACACAACAGCGTGTGATGTGATGTGTTCGTTCGGGGCGGCCTGCCCATGGAGAAGTACGTTTCTCATCCTTGGCCCGACGACGGTTTCCCATCTCTCTCGGCACTGCCGCGCAGTGAACCCCTCGATGTGCTTGCTGAGGCTCTCCCACACCACATTCCGCACACCGCCATTCGACGCCACCAGCGACCGCAGCTGCGCGTCGTGCTCTGGCGTCCACCCCAGCCTCCCGATGGTGCGTGCGGGGCGGATGACCTTCCACCGCCTTTGGCATGAGAGGGCTGTGCGGGAGGGGAGCCGCTTGGTGACTTCCATCCAGCTGAAAGGGACCGTGGTCCTCAGAGCATCCTCCAAGATACGATCCTGCACACAGACACACATACACACGCACACGCAGAGTGTGATGACATGCACAGACGAGTGTGCGTGTGCGTAGGGGTGTGACCTCTTCAGGTGTCCATGGTCGTGTGTCCGTGTCGGGCTCTTGTTTGTGCGCAGCAGTCGTCGTCATGTCGTCGCGGGGCCGCTTGCGCGTTGACAGTATGCCGGGGGTGTTCTCGTCACCACCGCTGGGACTGAGAGACGGATGGTAGAAATCCTGAACGGAACGGAACAGAACACACCACACGTCAGATCACACATGCGGCATTTGTTTACACACACATACAAGTGCTGCCCGGTGTGAGCGAGTGTGAGGACTGACCATATGCGGCCGTGGCGTCGGCGTGGGCAGTCCCATTGGATCAGTCTTCGGTGTGTCGATACCGCTGCCGCTGCCCACACCACCAAACCCCCCAATCCCACCCACACTGACCTCAGCACCCATCCCCCCGGTCCCGTGGTGGTGATGACCAAATGCACCACCGTCGTGGTCGTGTTCGTCATCGAATGGCGATGCCATGAGCGGAGGGGCCGTGTTGGGCACGTGGGGTGGGTCATGATGACTGGCACCAAACATCCCACCCATCTGCTGCAGCTCGTCACGGCCAGTGACCACAGAGAGCTGGGGACGCTGCTGCTGCTGGTGCGACACACGGCGGTTTTTGCGGTTGGGAGGGGGCGGGGGAGGGGAAGGGCGCGTCTTGCGTGTTTGTGCGGCGTGGGTCATGTTCTCGTCGGCACACATCGACTGGAACCACACAGCTGCGCCTGCACCACACAGAAAGACAGAGTGTGTGTGTGGGTGTGTGGTAGGGGGTATGAGGTCCGTTGAGGCTTACCGCGGTTGACCGACTGAGCGAGGAGGGTGTCGACTGAATCAACGGGACCAGCCTCCTCCTGCTGCTGCTGCTGCTGATCCTGATCCTGCTGCTGGTGCTGATCCTGCTGGTGCTGTTGGTGTGTCTGTGGTTGGTGCACGTCTTGGTCGTGCACAGGTACGCCAGCGGAGATCTTGATGCTGCATGTGTTGTCAGGACCATTTCTGTTAGCGACTGTCGGGAGGGGCAGGAATGGGGGGTCGATGCGCACGTGGACCATCGGCACTGGCAGGGGCGGGGCGTCGGCGTTGATTCGCTCCGCTCTGATGAACTTGCTCGTGGTGGTCATCCCCCCCTCATGGTCCTCAACGTCCGCAGGGAACAGGGGCGCCGCAAGCGAATCACCGCCCCCACCAGTAGCAGCAGGAGGGGTGCCTTTGTTGTCAGGTGCAGCAGCAGCTGGCAATGAGACACCAGCAGCGGGGGAGGGGGTTGGAGACCTCTCCGCTGCACCCGTCCCTGTGGCTGTAGCTGTAGCTGTGGGCGAAGACGCCATCTGGACGTCGCTCCCTCCCTGCTTCGGTGTATTCTTGTCGGCCGGCGGGGTGGCTGTGCAATTGTTATTGGCAGTCTTGTCACTGTCTCGCCGGTTGCTGTCGGGTGGTGCTGGGGGTGGTGGTGTTGGTGAGAGGGAGGGGGGAGGCTCGGACGCCCGAATATTGCTCGACGCAGCCTTGGGAGGCGGATGACTGAGCACACATACAAAACCAACATACCAACAACGTGTGTCACGAATGCCGGCCGGCCGATCCAGACATGTGCATGTGTTGTGTTGTGAGTTTCTTTCTGCCTTTGACTCCCACCTGTGTTTGTTGGCCTCCCTGACATGGCGACCTACAACGGTTGGGAAGCCCGACGGCCCGCTGGTCACGCCTTTGCTTGCAACTGTGCTCGATCCCGAGCTGGACGGCTCCTGCACGCCATTGTCCCCCTCACCCTCCTCCTTCTTGACACACACATCGATCTCAACCACAGGCATCTCCAATGAGGGCGGGGGAGGGGCTGCTGCTGCTGGTTGTGGTGCCGAGGTCCTGTTTGTGTTGGTTGGGGTCTTCTTGCTGCTGTGGTTTGTCGTCTTGTTGGGTGGCTTGGGTGGCGTCAGCTGCACCCAAAACGACCCGTTGCCACTGCCCCTGCCGTTTGCCTGTTTGCCGCCCACTGGCGTCTTGGTCTTCCTCGCCGCCACCATGACAGGCGACACAGCCGAGGGGGAACCACACGCACCGCCATCAGGCATGAAGGCTCTCGTGGGCAGTGATCGGAAGGAAGTCGACGAGACGGGCGTGAGCAGACGACAGTCATCCTGCATGGCGGGTGGGGCACTCCCTGCCGGTGAGGGTGGTGCGGCCTGCTTGCTCAATGCCGTCTTGCGCCGCACCAGTGGCCTCACTGAGTCCGCCTCGCCCGTAATGGGAGTGGCAGTGTGTGTCGACACGGTGGTGGGCCCCCCATCCATTCCCATTCCCGTCGCCGCCAGACGGCCCTGGCCCTGGCCATGGGAGTGTGGGTGTCTTGACAGGCCCGAGAGGGTGAGGGAAGGGTGCGGCTGGGGGCTGGACACACGCACATTGGGTTGATCTCTCGTCTGCGGCCGATGGGTGGGGGACGTCAAATCGACCGTGTCGGCATTGGCTGCTGCTGCTGCTGGTGGTGGTGGTCCTGGTGCCGTCTGTTTGTGGTGTTGTTGTTGTAGTCTGAATGGCGGGGCGGCTGTGCGGGGAGTGCGGGGAAAGAGGTTGTCCAGGAGAGGGTCTTGTTGCCGCGATTTGCGATGCTCCATGGTAGGTGTAGATGCGATAGACATAGACGGCTCACTCACGTCGGCGTGAGAGGCATAGGGATATAGAGGTATAAAGAGGCCACGGCCTGTCGAGCCCTTCACTTCGGCAGCTGCTGGCTGGGCTGGCAATCACGGCAGCTTCCAAATCACAGACAGACAACAGACAACAGACAGATGTAGACAGACAGGCCTGCAACTGTGGAGCTGCTGTCGAGCCGAGAGATCCGCTGCTGCGCACTGCTGCTGTGAGACCTCAACAGTCGGCTGAGCCGTGGCTGCTGAATCAGCTGACTGCTGCTCTCCCTCTTGCTGAAAGGGGATGGCCTTGTCGCGATGGTCTTCTCCCAGCGTTAGAGATCGACTTGTTCGGCGAAGCGCCAGAGATCGGCAAATGGTCTGTGTCTATGCGCCGCAGCAAGACCAGAGTAGAGCACCTTCCGGAGACGGCAAACCGCGCATAGGCGGCGTCTGCGAGCTTAGCTGCGAGCTCAAACTCCACCCTCGAAGATTCCTTGAAGATCCCGGCTGCGAGAGCGAAGGAAGCACGGCCTTTATCGAGACCAGCTTCCTGGGCGAACAGATCTGAAGATCAGATCCTCGAAGAGCTGAGGGGTGCGAAACGGTTTTCCTCTGGCCCTCTGCTTTCGCGACCCACATAAATGGAGGCGGTGCAGAGGATCTCTGGCGGCGCGATGCCTGGGTTTGTGACGGACAAGAACAACCCCGTCGGGTACGTCATCAAGAGCCTCCAGGAGTTCGGGCAGGAGAGCATCAGGCTCGTCAGAAGATGCACCAAACCTGACGCCAGAGGTGAGCTGGGATGGCCTGCAGAGAGCGGTGTTGCCACCGTGTGTGGTGATTGTGGTTTCCTGTCTGTGCGTGCAGAGTTCAAGAAGATCGCTCTTGCGTGCGGCGTTGGGTTCGCTATCATGGGCTTCATCGGCTACACGGTGGGTGGGTGGGTGGGTGAAACTGCCGAGGACGACACTGTCACTCACATTGCACGTGTGTGTGTGGACACATCCGATTGATTGCAGGTGAAGCTGGTCTTCATTCCCATCAACAACATCATCATACAGCCGGGCGCATAGCATAGCAGCGCAGCGCACCCCTCCCTACCCCTATCGCAATGGTGAGCAGACACCCTCACACACACACAGACACACACACACACCCCGTGCATCGTGTGTTGGTGGTGTGGCGTTCAGGTCTTGGTGTGGATATCCTTCTCTACCTGCTTTATCTACGCTGCAACGGTGTGATCTTTCCTGTCCAGTCTGGGATTCCCGTGTGTGAGATGGGGCCTGCGAAGCGCCGTGCACCCGCGCTGATAAGTGCCGGGTGTGTGTGGCTTTGCTGGCCCCATCGAGCACAGGGAAGCACAGACCGAGACGAACGAACGTGGGGATGGAATGACAAACGGTGCTTGGGAGTGGATGGGTGGGTAGTGTTGTCGTGTCGTCTTGTGTGGCCCATCTGCGCATTGGAGGTCCTGTGGTAATGCTGTCTGACAGGGGGCAGCTCCCTCTTGTGAGATCTCGTCACCTCGGGCTGTCTCGATGCACGGATGGGCCACACCGTCGAGAAAGACAGACAGGTGTGTGTATAGCTGTGCGTACATGGATGGTAATTAGAGGCTGCTGGTATCGATTCGATGCTGCTGACACGTGCAGCCAGGTGGGCTGCCCAATTCATGCACTGCATGTGATGGACGAATGGACAGGTCGATGGATGGGTGGGCCTGATGCGATGCGGGACAACGGGTTACTATGGTCAATTCGATGGCGGCAAGGCAACACCATATCAGTGAACATGGCCTGCACCCATGAACACACACATGTTCAGTTCAGTTCAGCACCAGCACAAAGAAAGTCGCACAAAGAAAGTGACACGAGGGATGGCGCCGCTTTCCGTCAATGTGCAACGCATTCCGCTCTGCTCTTGTCCAGTATCTACTCCAGCCATAAGTCAGTCCAAATGACGGACACTACACTATTATGTGCACAGGGACAGCCGAAGAAGGAAATGTGTGCAGCAACACAAGACAACACAAGACAACACAACACAACACAAAGCCACACGTGAAAAACTGATAAAGGACTGGTGAAAGAACCCGGCCGACATGACATAATATGGTCAGTTAGAAGACCCCGCTGGCTGGCTTATCTGCCCGCACTGACACTTCCAAGTGTCGCCTCCTGTCGCCTTCGCCTGCCTTCGTCCAAAGCTAACGAATCCATGTCTGCCATGGCAGAGGAAAGGACATACACACACACACACACACACACATACGCATACACATGAAGTGGAGTGGATTGGCTCACCTGTCACATTCCTGTAAGTGTGATCTCTGTCCCTCTTGTCAGCCAGTGCTCTGTCCCTGTGGTGGTCTGCACGCACACCGACACACAAAGCCACCCACAGCCAAAAAAATGTGACGTGACACCTTAACATCAATCAAGTCAAGTCGTCATCTCTCCTCACCGGCCTCGCTTGGCTGAGGATGTGGATGCACAACGACGATTGGGTCGGTTCGTCTGGTGCCCATCTCGCCGAAGAAGTCGTGAATGGTCGTGTTGTCATCTGCAGCGGTCGAGTGCTTCTTGTGCTTGCCGATCAACACGGCGTTGGGTCCCTTTGTCGTGGACAGACAAAACAGCCACACAGAACAGAGAGAGGACAGCAATACACACATACACACATGTGAGTGTACTCGCCTCTCTCCCTCCCTGCGTGTGTCACTCACGTGGATCTTCCTTGCTTACCTGATAGAGATACGTGAGCTTGGCCTTCATGCCTCCCACAGTGCGCACGTTCATCCTCACACCAAACACGTAAGTACCGTTCGACCACCGAGACCATTTCAGAGATTCAGATTCCCATCCGAACAATCCAAACAGCCGTCCGATGCCGCTCATGATCCCAGACGTTGATAGCGAGGGAGATGCACTCGCAGGGCGGCAGATCGGTTTCTTGCGAGCCTACAGCTAAGCTCGCAGCTAAGGAGGGCACCCGGCTGCTGCAGGGTGCTCCCTGAGACCGCTGCTGCCGGTGAGTGGGTGGGTGGATGGATGGATGGATGGATAGAAAGATGGATGGACTTCGTGCACGAGTCAGGACTGATGGGTGAGTCAGCCCTTCAGTGGCGGCAAAAGGTGCCACTGAATCACGGTTCCCTCTCTCTTATCAAGGATGTATATATCTACACCATCCCACCAGTCAGCCCAAATTGGCCTCTCTCACCAGACAGTGAGCGGACAGTATTGTATGTACACACAAACGGACAGACACATGAAGGAAGAAACGCAGCAAGGCAGCAATGCTCTCACACACTCTCATGTCAGTGAGCGCCGAGAGCTGGCGAGAAAACGCAAGATAGCAACCAACACCTGCACACACACCACAGTTGCAACCGTTTGCCTGGCCTGGCCTGGCCTGGCCACCCGCCCCTTCCCACTCACCTGTTCGAGCGGATCTGAGAGGTTTGTGTGAGCATTGGACGGCAGGAAGTCCCTGTCCAGCTGCAGACTCTTCAACACCCATTCAAGCGATGGCGTCTGCACCACACCACACCATACACACACGTATCACCAAGCATCTCATCTCGTGTGTGTGCATGGCTGTGTGCCCTGCCCACCCATCCCTCCAGTCGGTGCAGCTGCGGCTCGAGCACAAACTCATGCCGCTCGAACTCCCGGCTGTGCAGACACAGCTTGAGGGTCAGCAGCCGAGAGAGCCTGCCCACATCCACTGCTGATGATGAGGGTGAGAGGGCACTGGTGGTGCTGCTGCTGAGCTGCAGGCCGGGCGACCCCACTACAGGCAGCACCGAACCACCACCCTACACACATACAAACACACAGAGAGGGAGTCCGGCCAGCCAGACCAGACACCGATGAATAAACAAAAGAGTGCGTCCGTGGCTGTGCTGCATACTGACCTGTGTGGCAGTGTCCTGTTGTCGTCTCTGCATGCCTCTCTCAGGGTTGGCCCCCGCCACGGCCAGCGTAAAGGCGTCGATGACCGTCCGCACGAACGTGTAGTGCGCCACGTTGGGCGAGACCTCGATCGGATGGCGAAAGTCGCTCCTGAAGCTGTAGTGCACCGTGGCCGACACACCCAACTCATCCGCACGCACACATGACCATGACGACGGCGACATCGCCGGCGACTGAGACACCGCCCCCGGCTGGCGTGACGAGGCGGAGGCGGCCGGGGGCGAGGCGGTCTCCTTCGTGTTGACGATGTCGAAGAGCTCCAGCGTCCTTAGATGGGTCATCATGTGGGGGATCACTATGATCTGCACGTTCGGCGGCGGCAGAGCCCCACCTCTCGCCGGTGCAGGGTCTTTGTGCAGATGGATCGGCTCGAAGGCCAGAGCCAGCGACCTCGTCTGCGGCGGCAGCCTCTCCGGGAGGGCGCTGGCTGTGTCACCAGCAGCAGCAGCAGCAGCACCGGTCAGGTGGACGTACTGCGGTGTGGTGTCGGTCAGCGGCGAGGCATTGAAGCCGATCTCCCCCTCAGGCAGGCAGATGTGCAGCGCCGACCTGTCGGTGAGCGTCTCGCTGAAGAGGTACAGGTGGACGTGCTCCATCCTGACGGTGATGCTGCCGTGCGCCCGGCCCTCCAGCAGATCGACCACTGCGCTTGGGGAGGGGACGGGGAGCAGCGGAGCGGCAGCTGCTGCAGCTGCTCCGGGGGACACTGTGGGCGACGCAAAGGGGGCTGGTGGCGGCTGCAGGTGCCTCTGAGCAAGGCTGCCGAACTCTGCTGCGGCCTGTGCGCCGGCCGATAAAGGAGGGGACAGCCGTCTCTGCGCCGACTCCCACTGGGCCCTGCAGGAGTCGGCCAGCACCGACGCCACGGCCGTGAGACTCCTCACCGCGGCAGGGCACACCTTGACGGTCAGCTCCCTGGCCACCAGCTGCGACTGGCCCGCACGGATGACGGCTTCCTCGCACGGCTGCTCATTATCTCCGTCAGCACAAGCATCAGCAGCAGTAGGGCTCGATGGTGTGCACTGAACGAAGAGGCGTCCGTAGCCTGTGGTGGAGAACTGGGAGTCGCCGTCGGCTGTGACCTCGGTGTCGGCGCACTCGAGGCCGAGCTGCTGGCCCCAGAACTCGATGAGAGGCTTCCGGTCGTACGTCAGCTCCAGCTCCACAGGAGTCACCTCGGCCCGCCATGAGTGAGCTGCCCTATATTCGGTCTCCCCCTCCCTGCAGCCGCCGCGGTCGTCGTCAGAGCTGCCCGATGCCTCACCTCCATCCTCTCCCTCCTCCTCTCCCTGTGGTGCTGCCGTGGTGGATTTCGTGACCTTATCTCGTGCCACATGCCGCACGCTGCCCTCGATCAGCAGCACACCAACGCCCCCGCCGCCACGCAGGAGGGGCTCTGAGTGCCAGCGAAGGTTGCTCGCACGGACGGCGATGGTCAGGGCGTCCATCCGCAGACCCGACTCCATCCGACCTGGCTCTGCACGGCACGGGGGAGGAAAGGAGAGAAGAGAGACATTTCGTGTGTGCATGATGGGATGGCGGAGAGGGGGCTTGGCGTCGTGTTGGCTTACCGACGATGGATAGCTCAAGCGGTTGGACGGTGAATGTCATTTCTGACCCGACGGACGCGGGGTGCCTCATGTCGCCCACCACCCTCATGTAGTGGACGGTGGAGTGCACCATCAGCGAAGACGACGCCCCGGCAACCACACCCTCAGCCCCCGCTTCTATCTCATCCAGGGTGTGTGTGGTGGCCGGGGAGTGCGGGGGCGAGAGGGAGGTCTCCTGGTGGATCTCAAACTCTGCCGTCAGCTTGTGCAGGGCCATGATAAGGGCAGCGAGCCGGTCCATGTAGCGGTTGTTGTACTGCACCCGCAGCTCTCGCTGGAAGTGGTGCACCGTCACCAGCGGCAGGTCGGCGTCGTTACGCAGCCCCACGGCAGCCGAGTGCTGGATGTTCAGCCCCTTGACGTCGAGCGAGAAGACACGCGACGGGGCCGCGCTGCTGAAGGTGATGTAGGCCTCGCACGCTGGCAGGTGCACAAAGTTGATGTGCAGAGGCACCTCTAACCCCTCCCCTCTCCTACCCCCACCCTCCGCCTGCTGCCGGTGACAGGTGTCTCGGTCGGGTTGGTCGTCGTCGTCGTCGTCTTGCGGCGACGAGAGCTGGTGCATGCCCCATGACTGTGTGAGGTTGAAGCCCTCCTCCAAATGGGTGACGACCAGGATGTCGCTGGGTGTGATGGGGACCGTCACCGACACCGTGATGGTGTTGGCTGACAGCTGCAGGAACACCGGCCGCCTCCCGAGGCTCTCGCCCACCGACACCGACCTCCGAAGGTCATCCATACCCATCACCGTCGCCATCTGCTGATCCCCCCTTTCACCGACACCCCCGCCCCCAGCAGCCATGGGAGACCCACCCCCTCCCCCCTCCACCCCCGCCCTCCTCTTGATAGTCCTCGCCACATTGACCAGCGACTGCACCCAGGCCGCACTCAGGCTGAGAAAGAACGGCGGCAGGTGGACGTACAGCAGAGTGGGCGTGTCGTCGCCCCCTCCTGTGCACAGCAGGCGGCAGTCCACGTCGGGGAGGGGGATCGGCTCCAGCGCTAATGGAGCGGTGGGCGTGGAGGGCGCGGTGGGGCTCTTGAGGGGGCGCACCAGGGCTGCGGGGTGCTGTGCCGGGGCTGGGGCGGCCCCGTGTGTGTGCGCGGTGACCTTGCTGACCTTGGCTGACACGTCGAAATGAAACGTGGTGGGGGAGGCCTCCCCCGCGCCATAGGAAGCGAATATGTCGGTCCGTGTGCGCGACGAGGGCCACGACGTCTGAGAAGGTGTCGCTGAGAAGGATGGGGGCGAGGGCACCAGTTCCGCTGCCATTGACTGCGCCCGCCTGACCCGCCTCAGCGCCCGAAGCCGGCGCTGCCCCCTCTCCCTCCCCACATGGCCTCTGCTGCCGGGCATCCATGCCGCGCAGAAGGTGCGTGTGGCCCTTATGGCCTTGCTGTCCACATACACGTCGGTGGACTCCATGCCGAAGTGGCCACTGACCGATACCACCACAGAGCGCGGCGCCAGGCCGCCAGAAGACGAGATGGGCGTGGCGGGGGTGGTGTCGTCCTGATCCGACGAGGTGTGCTCGGCGAGGCTGAGACCGGCGTTGAAGGCCATGTCGCAGACGCTCACGCCGAGAGAGCCCTCATGGGCCTGTGGGCTGCGCCAGAACTCGTTACGATGGAAAAGGCCAAGACTGGCGAGTGGATCGACGACGAGTGCGCACGAGACGCATCCCTTGAGGTCATGCACCATCGACCGGGCCCCCACCTCCACTCTGTCGCCCTCGGGTCTGTTGAGCGTCACGGTGGTCTCCATGCGGGTCGTGAAGAAAGACGCCAGACCCTGCAGCGTGGGTGAGTAGGCCTCCAGATGCTGCACGCTCACTTCGAAGGCAAAGCTCCGACGACCCACACCTTCGCCTCTCGTCGCTTCCCGCTCCTCCGCCCTCTCTCTGTCCCTGCTGGCCTGGGCCGTGCCGCGGTGCTGGTGGAAGAGCGCTTCGAGGCTCTGTTGAAGGCCTTCGTCGATCTTTTTGAGGGTCTCCAGGTGCGTGCTGCGGGACCTCTTGCCGACGGGGAGCGGGGGAAGGGCAACCGCCTCGGCGGCAATGTCCTCCTCGTGTGTGTCTGCACGCCTCGTCTCTGCGTCGATCAGGAAGGGCCGGGCCACCTCGTAGTACTCGATGGCGACGTTCATGAGAGTGTCGTGACACCCGGGATGCGCCACAACCCTCGGCTGCTTCACCTCCAGCCGGGCATTTCGTCGCGACGCCTCGATCTGTGTGGTGACTTCAGCGGTGATCTCCAGCGCAGAGGCCTCCTTGTCGGCCATCTGCTGCCCATGGCGGCCCTCCACAGTGGCCGTCTTGGGCGATCCGCCGCCTGTGCACTTGTGGTCCTGGTTGCCGTCTGCAGGCTCATCCGACATGTCTGGCAGCTGTGGCACCGACACCGACCGCTTGATGGCATGCAGGGGGTGGACGGGGGAACGCACCTCCTGCATCTCGATCCGCCGCGTCACCGCCAGCAGCACGTGCTTGGTGCTGATGAGCAGGTCGGCCACGTGCTGGGGCTGGCAGGAGGCGAGCATCAGGCCCTCAACAGTTCCCTCATCGGCGTCGCCCCCTGCCGGTTCGTCGTCGTTGTCCTCTGTGGGTGCACTGGCGCTGCGGGGGGCGGCCGAGCCCTCCTTGTCGGACGCCATGCTGCTGTCGTGATGCTGATGCGATGATGATGGGGCCTCCTTGCGAACCGAGAATCGGGTGGCCGACGTCTGGAAGCGCATTGAGCCTGTGGTCGCCGACACACGGAGCGCCACGCCTTGGAAGGTCAAGTCGATGGCGACCCGCAGCCGCTGCACCACAGTCGATAATGAGGCGTCCGCTGCTTTAGGTGGCGGAGGTGGCACATGTTGGATCGACTCGGATGACGCCGAGATGACGGCCGGGACGACCGACACCGACAACTGGTTTGCGATGACGAGCAGGTGGCGCATCTCCTCCAGCCCGATGGACACGTTGATCTGCGCCACAGTGAGGGTGGCCTTCAGCACCATGTCGCCCGACGACCGAGGGGCAGAGGGGGAGGGAGAGGGGGAGGGCGAGATGCTGGAAGCACTGCTGCCACGATGAGAGGGACCTGACTGCTCTGACTGCGCCTCGACGCGCTGAAAGGGGGAGAGGTCCGCAGACGACCCAAGGCTCTGTTGCGAACGGATTGACGCCGATTCCCGCCAGGCCTTGAAGGCAAACGACCCGGCGGCGTCGACAGCCGGCAGTGAGTGGCCTCTGCGGGTGATGGCCCCTTGGGATCGCTCCATGAAGGTGAGGGAGTGGGTAGAGATCCCGGCGTTGACCACCACCACCACCTGCGCCCGTCCGCCCTTGAGGCTGTCCGTCGACGCCCCCAGAAGAGAGCTGACGGGTGCGGCGGAGGAGAGGCCGGTGACCTCCAAGCCGAGCGACACAGCAGCGATGCCATAAGATAGGCCGATGGCTGGCGAGGGGTAGTACACGATCCGGCTGTCGGTCGCACGCATCACGTGTTGCAAGGCAAGCGGGTTGCCGAAGGTGCCCTCCTGCAGGACGGGAAACGCTCCGTCGGCCTCGGCCTCATCGTGGCCGGCTTCCTGGTCTCCCTCGTCTGCCTCGATTGCCTTGGCCGCACCGCCCCAGGCGTCCACGAATGCCCGGATGCCCTTGGCGAAGGCCGGGGTAATCAGGTACAGCGGAAGCTGGGCAAGGAGACCGTCGACTGACAGCCCAGTGCACGCCCCATACTTGCTGCCGTTCTTGGTGGCCGATGTGCATGCAGCCGACTTGCTGCCGTTCTTGGTGGCCGATGTGCATGCAGCCGATGGGACGAGGCAGTGGCCGTCGAGTCTCTCGATGGACACACAGAAGGATCCGAAGCCTGCCAGGGCGTTCTGGATGGACAGGTGGTGACCTGCCTTGTCGCAACTTGTGGCCGTGGAGCTGATGAGGGTGTAGCGGACGGCCTCGGATGCGTCGCCCGTTGCCGAGTTGTTGGCCGTCGTGATGCGCAGCATGACCGTCTCGTCATCACCGTTCCCCGCTTTCCCCTCATCGGCCAGCGACGAGCACATGGCGAAACCGTACTGGCGGACGACAGCGGTAAGCGTCCAGGGACGCGACAGCCGCTCCTTCACGACCTCACTCGCACCCTTGTCCTTTGCTGCCGCCGGTGCCATCGCCTTCTCACCAGCCTTGGGCGATGCAGCGTCGGTCATGAGCATCAGTTTGGGGTCGATGGACACCAGCGAGTCCCTTCGGGGTGAGGACAGAGTCAGGCTGGTCAGCGATGCGTGTCGTGGCCGCTGCTTGGGCCGGGGCACCTCTGTCTTGCTCAGCATCAGCCGGTGTGGGTAGGAGGGGCTGTGCCGACGATCCCCACGGAGGGCGGAGGTGGTCGTGCGGGTGATGGGGGAGATGTCGGCGTGCGCCGCAGCTGGCTCGAGTGCTGGTGTCAGGGAAGCGGTGGCAGCCTGCACGTGTACGTAACACACAGAGGGTAAAGAGTCACAGTCCGACAGGCCGTGTGTTGTTGTCACATTGTGCACCTGGATGGACTCCACGATGCTCGATAGTGTGCCTGCCAGCTGCAGCACTCCCGGCTCCACCACACAGTGGACCGAGGACACAGACAGGCTGGCGCAGACGCTGGACACATCGGCACCCTCGCTGTTCCCTTCGCCCTCTCCACCAGCAGCAGGCGCAGGTGCAGGTGCCACTGCGGCCGCCGGCAGCTGCAGGATGAGGGATGTGGTGGTCAGCGCCAGACGGGACACCAGCACGGTCGCAGGGGCGGCGACGGGAGGGGCAATGGCCAGACTGGGGTTGGGCGGCGTCTGAGGCGATAGCGTGGCTATTGATGACCGTCTCCTCTCGGCCCCTTTCGCTTTCTGTCCGCCGGCTTCCTCAACGCTGCCCGCCCTCACGGCGACGATCGGAGCGCCGTCGTCGAGTGTGCGGGCCGGGAGGGCTGGCGACACGGGGACAGACATGGACGCAGCGGGCGCAGCGGTGTGCCTCGTCTCTGTGGTCGGCGTGGGCATCTTGCGCTCATAGCGCACCTCGGCTGTGGATGTGAGGGCAATGCGCAGGTCCCAGGGAGCGTTCAGGGCGGCGGGGGGTGGTTGGGATGGGTTGCCGAGTGTGGTCGGCTGAGTGCTGCTAGGTTGCTTCATGAAGTCCAGAAGGGGCGTCATCCTAAGGAAGAAGGATAAGACAGGCAATGCATCCATCCATCCATCCGTAGGCGACACCATTGCTGGTGGCGGTGGTGGTGGTGGCGCTTACCATGCGTCGTAGGTGCTCCTGATGAGTTGGTGTCTCGTCACAATCCGATGGCGCTCCACGAGGCCGATCAGATGGGCGTTGATCAGACGCCGACCCGCACGCACACACGCACACATCGACGCGTGCTGCGCCACATAGTCGAGGGAGGTCCCGTCTGGGCGGCCGAATGACCTCAGGGCGTCGGCTGTGAAGATCTGTCGGACAGACACATACAGAGACAGAGGACAAGGGGGGGCGAATGGAGACCACATCGTAGCGTGGGGTGAGGAGTATGCGTCTTCTCACTGACCTCTGAGAGCAGCTGCGTCCATCCGTCGTTGACATGTGAGGTGGTCCTCTGCCTGACTTCACGAATGTCTGCCCCCAGCGCTTGAATGGCAACGGCACACGTGTCCACCTGACGCACAAACCAATGGATGGACGATGCCATCCATCCATTGAGGTGTCTGTCACGGCTCACCGCGAGAGGGGCCACTCCATCGGTCACACGCATCACAACGTCCCCCACCTCCATCTCCATCACACCGCCCTCCGTACCGACCGGCATGTGCAGACGAAACCTCCCACCCACCACATCGAAGCGGACGCCCCCATAGCCATCCCGCTGTCCGCCCTCAGCCACACGTGGCCCAGCGGCCCTCTCGCTGACAGCACGAACGAGCTCCTGGGAGAATGCCGGCCGCTCGCTGTTGTCTATGGTCTTGCGATATATGTGCCAGTGGATGGCATCGATGTCACAGAATGCGGCATGCAGGGAGGGCGGGGCAAGGTGCGTGGCGGAAGAACGAATGCAGAGGTGGAGGGTCTTCATCTCGATACGTGAAGCCGCTCGGTCGGCCGATTGAGGGGCAGCAAAGATGCCGCCTTGTCCCTCCTTCGGCGTGTGCTCGCCATACATAGTCCCATCCTCCTCACCGGCCTCTGGCTCATCTCCCCTATCCTCTTCGATGCCTGCGGTCCCCCGGCTGCCCTCCATCTCGACCACGAGGGACACAGACGGCCCGCCGATCGACCACACATCGGCCTGTGTGGTCACAGACGCACTCTCCCCCTCAATGCCACCTTGCGATTTCCTCCTCCGCTGCGGTGGCAGTGGCGGAGCTGGGGGCGGGGCAAAGGCCGCGAACTCGAATGTGTCGAAGAGGGCCAGGTAGGTGCGCGACGGGGTCGTCGACCAAGAGGTCGTCGATGAGGCCATGAGATCCACAAGATGGCTCATGCCATGATGACTGATGCGCACAAGCACACCTTCGACCTGCCGATTGTCTTGTTTGGCCGTGGTGGTCTGGAGGGACACGTGTGTGACGGTGAAGGGGCCACCGGTCAAAGGGGTGGGCTCGTTGATGGCTCGCTGGAAAGGGCCCTTGAGCGACGAATAGGGCACAAAATGACAACGGGACTCCGCAGACCTGCATAACAGAAAGAGACGGTGATCGGCCGTCCGTGTGTCCGCGTCATACTCAACCGACTCACCTTTGTTGCACTTTGGACGGTCGCCTTCGCCCGGGCGGCTTGACGGGGTACGGCACACCCACCCCCTCCCCGGCACACTCATCGGCACTCCTGAGCACTATCCTCGCACCACAGACCTTCGCACATGCCGCCCTCTCATCGCACCCATCATCCTGCCGCCGTATGGCCTCCACCGCCATCCGCTGCCCCTCGTTCATCTTGTCGAAGTATTCCCGCTGCCTCTGGGGGCTCTGCAGGAGCGACCCCCTGTGCGCCCACCGGCCCTCCCTGTCGGCCTCATCGTCGCTCTCTGACGGCACAGACAATGCCGTCGGCGCGCGGGCAGGGATTTCCGTCCGCCACTGCCGTGCGTCGCCGCGACGCACTTCGAGACTCGGCTGGCTGACGAGGGTTTTGGCATTCTGTTGATGGCCGATAGAGGATCGAGATGAGCGTTTGAAGTGGACTGATCGCGTGGTTGCTGCGGCTGCTCGTGTAGGGGGATGATGGTCGCTGGGGGCGCATGTGGCATTCTCCTCTTCACACGACACAAAGCTGGACAGGTCATCGTCCATGAACGAATCATCCTCGGCCTCGCCCTGGCACATACAATGCACACACCACCCACACAAGGCTTCACTCAATGCGCCATCAGTCCTGGTCCTGCCCCCACGTCGCCTCGTCCCACCTTGGTGTGCGTGTGTGTCCCGGATTTACTGTCATTCAGCTCCTCCCCGACGGAGTGCCACGACCGACTCTTGCTCTGTTGCGCGTCAAGCGCGAAGGACGGGGGCGTCTGCAAGGACTCGTATGACCCGTAGGTGTCCCTCCTGCCAGCCCCACTGGCACTGCCCTCCAACTCGATGTCCGACAGGCTGATGGGGCTGGCCTCCTCTGTGGGCGGCGACCGGCGGGCGACGAACTCCCCGAGCGACGTGCGGCGGCTTTGCTGTTGGGCTGTGGGTGGGGGCAGCAGGACGACTGAAGACGAATCGCGAGAAAACAGGTCTGAGCGATGCGAAGGGGAGGCAGGGGGCAGTGACAAGTGTAGGGACGAGAAGTGTCGGTGCCGTTGTGTGTGTCTGACCTGACATGGTGCGGCGTTGAGGGATCGGGATGGACAGCGGCACAGTAGCTGTAGCCGCCTTGTCGGGCTGCCCCTGATCGATATCCTGGACCCGCTCAGGCGAACTGACTGTGGCCCTTACCATCTGCCGCTGCCTCCGCCGTCGACCAGATGATTCGCACACCATCTCAGCTGGGTCGCCTATGGTGCCGGGGAGGCTGTCGAACACACCCTTCAGCGACATCACAGACACCGGCCGCTCTTCTGTCGCATTGTCCGCATCCCATTGCTCGTCCTGTCGGTCGAAGTAGACGGTGCTGATGTGGGGCAGGTCGCTCGTGGCGGTGCCGTGTTGGTGGTGCGGGAGATCGAGTGGCCAGTCGTGCTGACTGGTGGGGTGGACGCATGCAGTGGCGGTGAGGGCGTGCCGGCCCTGCTCCGACAGATAGGCATCCTGACCGGTAGATCGATCCAGACATGGAAAGCACACATGACGTAGACAGACAGACAGATCATATTGGGAGCGAATTCGTTCGGTCACCTGGACGTCTTTGGTGAGGCCGTGTGGGTTCCGTTTGCCGCTGAGGATGACACCTCCGCCCCGCACGTCCATGAGTGTGTCGCACACAATCTCCCTGAGGGCACTCTGGTGGGCCGGCCTGCCAGTAGTGGCCGTCACTGACCGATACGTGACGATCCGCACCATCGGCACCTGACAGCATACATGTACGCAGAGAGGGAAGTATGAGACTCTCGTGAAGGCTGCATGTACGCCGGCTTGCTTGCCTGGCCTCTGATGTGTTGGTGAAACAGATTGCAGAAGCGTGTGTCCTTGCACAAGTGCAGACCTGACGAAGCACATCCGAACACACATATCAATCCGTGCATCCAGCCTGCCTGCCTGCCTGCCTACTGGCCGCTCTATGTGCACCATACCCACCGTAAGGTATGCTGGCGACGGTCACGTGCCCATTGAGTGGCACGGCCACCCTTACAGCCCCCAGCCTGACGTCCACCACATTCACAGCCAGGTGAAGTCGCTGCCCTTCCCGCGCCTTGACCACCGTGCCCTTCATCCTTGCTATCTCGGGTGGCAGCCGGCGCCGCCACGGCCGCTCCTCCATCGGCATTGGCGACTCGGCCGCTGCTCGCGTGTCGATCCGCTCCAACACACTCTCTGATAGACCTGCACGTATGCAACAGGCGCCTCGCATGTACGTATGTTCGAATGTCCATCCGTCTGTCCAGTGACTCCTTTTCCATTTCTGTGTCTGTGTGTATGTATTGATGCGTACCGGTCTTGTTTGATGATACGGATGAGCGCTGGCTCTTCCTGGTGCTTGCGTGCGAGATCATTTCCTTCTTGAGGACCGCCGGCGGGGCGCTGATCGTCCGGCGCCCTTCGTCGTCATTGTCCGATGCCGCCTCGTCGGTGCCGTCGTCCTGTGTGGTGCTAAGGATGGTGGACGCGAACCTGACGTGATGGTGATGACCCGTGGGGCTGTCGGTCGGAGACGGGGGCAATGACGATAGAGGCGACCTGATACACAAACGGACATTGCAGGCTTGGATGGATGGGTGTCGGTGCGTACTCCGGGTCGCAGCAGGCCCTCTGCCCCGGTACGGCCAGCTCCGCCACGTTCCACTGGTGTGACACACACCGCGCCGAGTGCACCAGCCGACCGATGTGTGCGGGCGATATGCGGCCACTGAGGCGACCGATGGACGGGGAGAGGGAGCAGAAACACGGCACCAAGTCAGGCAGCGGGCTGAAGATGGCATGGTTGTGGAACCGCAGACCCTGCACACATACGCCCTCCCCGTCCCCCTCCAGGTCCATGTGTATGTCGTCCATTTCCACCACCACGTCGACGAAGGCGTTGGTGCCACGCATCACGACTCTCACGCCGGGGCTGGTGACCACCAGAGGGTCGCACACCGACGTGACGACAAAATCGCGCGTCGATGAGCGGTTGACGGGCGAGGGCGCCGACAGGATGTCGGTCGACAGAGACGAGGGTAGAAGGAAGCTGACGTCCTGTGACAGACCACACCACACATACACAGACACCGTGCGTATCGATCTGTTGCCACGCAGGGTCACCCACCTGGCAGTCGACTTCCAGGAAGACCTCGAAATCGTTGATGGGGATGACAGTGTCGCCGTCTCTGAACCTCGTGACCTCGTGGTGCCTTGCCAGCCAGTTCTCGCGGGCGTCGTGGTCGTACTGAGATGTGGTACACGACAGCACATAGGGGCCGCCCATGTTGTCAGCCAGCCACTGCAGGGTGTGCAACACGTGGCCCTCGCACGACAAGGTGACGCTCGATGCATCTGGGAAATAAACAGAGGGGAGGAAGGGCACTGTCTCATATGTGATCGCTGTGGCGTACCGATGTTGAGCGTCAGATGATCGCGATAAGCTAGTTAGAAAGACAGCACGACACAAAGATGACAAACTCATCTCTCAATAACCCATTCCTGCTTCCTTCGTCCTTACAGGGGTTCAGGTTGTAGAATCCCGAGTACCTTCCCCCACACGCCAGCCCCTCCCACTGCAGCGCCACACCCAGACCGCGACCATCCACCTCAGGTGACGTCCAGTACCGCCCGCCAGCAGATGGGGAGCCGACGTCAACGTCGTAGCCCACGTGATTGATGGCGCGCGGGTATGCGGGGAGCGGCGGCTGCCTCCCAGGGCCGGTGCGTGCCTCGCTGTCCAGACCCAGAGGGTGGCCGGAAGGGAACGACACAGCTGAAAGAAGAAACGGTTGACTGACGGACCACACTTGTCTGTGCTGTTCCTTTACTTGAGCAGCCACTGACCTGCTGCAGCTGTGTCGCAGTTGATTCGGAAGTCCATCGTTGCCACCTCTGAGATGTAAACCAGAAACGCCTGGCTGCACACACACACATTGACACGTGTCAATGCATCCTCAGTATCCGAACCCAACACGTCGGCACGGACCTGGTTTGTATGTTGAGTGCGCGTGTGTGCAGGATGATGCAGAGAGTGTCCCTGAGGGCGAGAGGGTAGTTAAGCACATTGTGTTTGGCGGCCGGGAGGATGAGCTCGGCGTCGTGGAAGTCGTATGTGAGTGTGTAGACTGCAGGGATGAAACACACCCAACCACTGTCGGGCCTGTCACCACCTGCACACACCAAGAGAAGTAGACACACTGCCATGTGTTCGTTGTCGCCATCCTGACCCCATTCTGTGAGGAGGCAGCTGATGGCATCGATGAGTTCCCTCGTCAGCCACAGAGACGCCTTGGCGAACCGAAAGGTGAAGTCCCACAGCTGCTTCTCGTTCCACCGCAGTGGGTAGTGCACGTCTGCTGCGATCGAAAAGGACTCTACCGTCAGAAACTGACCTGACCAATGGCAGAAACACACACGAAATCCTGCCTCTACGATCAATATGGGATGGCGTGTGTGTGCATTGTTTGTTGACCCACCCTTGTGTCTTGAGGGCAGCAGGCAGTCGACCGTGACCTTGTCCATCTTGACGGTCGCGTGGTGCTTCAAATCAGCCGATGTCACTAGCGCCCAGGGAATCTGATGCATGGACCCACTCAAGACACATGCACGTGCATTCACCCATACACGAGATCGTGTTTGTGGGCCTGCCTACCGCGCAGTGGATCTGTGCCGATTCCGGCGTGTGCAAGGACAGCTGACACCACCTTGTCTGCGAGCAGAAGGGGACCCTCGCCTCAATGCCCTGCGCGAAATCCACCGACAGCTGAAAGGACAGAGAGGAAAAAAACAGACATGACAGACGTCACGCTTGACGTACACTCCACCGCCCCCTCCCCCACCCACCTCGAGCGTGTGTGTTGCTCTAATCTTTTTGGCTTTGGCCCTGTAAGGGCGCGAGTCCTCCCAATCAAATGGGTAGAGGATGGAGAGCAACAGCTCCCTCTGGTGGTCCGTCCAGGGCGAGTAGGTCAGGCAGCAGGGCGCCGTGGCAGTGAGGCCCACCATCATCTTGGGCAGGGGGGTCTTGGTGTCCACACACACGCCGGGCTGGTCGTAGTCGATCTTGACGCGCAAGGTGCCGTCGATGCGCAGCACCTCCATCTCCACACACGCATACACATGCATACACCAAACTGTCGTCACCCATTTGTGTGTTTATGTGTTTGTGTGTGATGCTCGATCACCTGCGCTTTCCTCAGCGTGTTGTCTTTCGGCGTGTCGCCGTCAGCCGCCTCGCGGAAAGGACTGTACCTGCACGCACATCACGTCGACGCATACACGAGCCTGTTTGCGCTTCTATGCCAGCTCACTTAGCGTATGGCCTCTGTGCAGTCCCCTTGTCCCTCTCCTCGCCAGGCCGCCCATCGGGCGTGTTTGGCGATGTCGTGGGCGTGGCACGAGTCTCCTCCTACCGACACAATTTTACACAGCAACACTACGGATACACGCGCCCCTCCCGTGCTTCTGTGGTGCAAACCTGCGGCGACGTGCGTGAGTCGTCGTTCTCCGCGGCGATCTGGACTCGCAATTCCTCGTCGACGTCATCAGCATTCTCACTCGCCCGTTTCCCCCTCCCTCCCCGCCGTCGCGACTCCCTTGTCGGTCCCCGGTCGTCCTCAGCGCCATTCTCCTCCGACACACGCGCCAACCTGAATGCATTTACACAGACGCATGCTTGTTCCCATCAGACGCTTCGCACTCACCTTCTGGTTCTCCTTCGGTCGAAGAGTCCCGATCTCATCCTCTGATTTGGGAAGACGGGCCTCTTTTGTGTAGCGGACGTGTGGTCTTCCTGCTCGTCGGTGTCGTCGAGGAAGCGCCAGTCCATTTTCTTGAAGAACTCCACAAACGAATTGCGCGCCTGATCAGACAGGGCGGCCATACATGTGTGCATACACACAACCCGCACCATGCGTCCGTGTGCTGAGTTTTGCTGTGGTGCTTACTCGTTCGAGCAGGTCCTCTTGCACCAGCCGTTGGTGGCGGGCCTGCAACTCGACTGAATCGGGGACAGAAAATGACGGGCGCACTGTGCCCGTGTCTGTGCCGGGGTTTTTGTGCTTGCCCACCCGAATCGACGGCGGTTGGGTTTTCGTCGCACAGTAGCTTCACGTTGTTCAGGGAAAGGTCGGTTTCCACGCGGTAGGGATCCTCGCGCGGATACTCCTGACGATCTGCACACATACACACACCCACACAGACACACACACGCAGGCGGCCAGGCAGGCAGGCCACACACCATAGCATTCTCCACCCGTGTGGACCATGTGTGTGTGCTCTGACTGACTTGTGGCCATATGTGTCCCATGCAGCGTCCGCACGCTCAAGATCACGACTGTGGGGATCTTGGATGAGCCGATCTTGACGCAAGACCTCTCCACCTTCAGCTGCAACAGCAGACATCCATTCAGATCATCGACAGGTGCAAGTGTGGCAGGTGTGATTCTTGTACCTCAACACTGGGGCACAGTCGGAAGAATCTCGGTACGGCAGCAGCGATGGCCTCGACCAACGGATCGTTGTCGCCCTCTTCCTGGTGGCAAATGAGCAAATGGCATGTCCGCTGCGTGCACGGCAGTCAAGATGCGTACCACCAGGAGGTCGTCAGCGCCACCCTGTGCATCTGGAAGACCCACACGCCAACACACCGTGCAGCCACGGCAGGATTGCGTCCATCCGCTTGATAGGCACCTGTCTGTTCGACGGTTTCGTCTTTCTGCTCGTCTGGTAGCGTGCCGTCAGACTCATCAGCTGGGTCCTCCTGATGGACATGGCCTCGTCTGCGCAGTCCCCTCTTGAGCTAGCCTGTCTCTATGTGCCTACTTGTCTCTTTTTGTGTCTGCCTGTCATCCTCTTGGTGAGCTGTGCGATGCGCCCCATGATGCGCCGGTGCTTGGCCTCCTCCTGGGCCTCCTCCTTCTTACGACGAGCGATAACCTGACATAGACATACACCCACATGACACACGCCGGGCACACACAGACACATAAATAGACCACACGCGTGTGCATGTGAATGAGTCAGCGAGCGTGTGTATGTGGTTGCCTGTTCCAGGTGTTTGTATCTGGCCGCGTTTGAGTAGACCAGCACCTCCACACCATGCAGCTGAATCGTCACACGATGCGGGTGGCTGCCCGACGACTGACAACCACACACGCATCCAGGCATTCACCCTTCAGCCCTCATCGTCCACCCGGATCTGCTTACGTATGGAGTGTGTACGATCCTCCGCCAGTATCGGCACCGCACCTCCAGCCTCGTCAGCAGCACACTCACGCTGGTCGTCGTGTATCGCACATGCGACAGCACAAACTTGCCGCCAAGCAAACTCAGCGACACACTGCGGGCCTGACACCACACACACACAAGGATGATGCACGGAAATCGTGTTCGCCTGTGATTTGCACTTTTGTGGACCTGCAGGTGTGTTTTGCCTCGGAGCACGCAGGAGTTGATGAGTTTGACGAGGACCATTGCAAGCAGCCGCGAGAAGACCATCAGGTAGAATGCGATGATCAGCACCAGGAAGGTGGAGTAGAGGGCGTAGGCCGTGAGGGAGTGCCCCTTCTCGAAACCTGTCAGCTGGTCGCGACTCTGCATGGCGATGGATGAATGGATGAGCCCGAGAACAGCTGTTCGCTAATCCACTACTCCACAATAAGCGCCTGATGAAATGGCCGCATCACCATCGTCTGCCGCATCGTTTCAATCGCCGGCTCCTCGGTCGTCGTGTTTTCGGCATCAACGAGTTGCTTTCGTCACTCATAGTGGAATAGACAGCGCAATCCAAGATCTCCATCACCACAAGAGCCCGCCCCTCGCCTCTCGCTTTCCCTGATCCGTTGCGAGCTTGGCGCAAAAACTTGGTTTCGATGCTTTGCCAGAGCTCCCGAGCCTCGTTCGCACCTCTCTTCCCCAGCCGCCCCCTCCGTGCTCAGCCAGGCTTCACCTGCACTCATCGCGCGCCACTGTCTGCGACGCTGCGGTACCTGATCTCTGTCTGCGCCACCAACAGCATGGCCAAGGAACCGACGTCGCGTGTGAAGGCGCAGGGAAGACCCGAGAACGCGCCAAACAGTGACCCAAACAGTGCGCATTTTTTCACCACCGACGTGCGGGAGCCATTCAAGGTCATCGGAGAACAAATGGTGTACCAGGGGTGGAAGAACGGTGAGTGAGTGCATGGTGAGCAGGGAGGGCGAGTGGGAGGTCATTGCGCTGGGCGACGGGTGACATTGGTCGATGAATGAATCATACGGATTCACGAGTCTGCTGGTGTCTGTCTGTCTGCAGTGATGCACCGAACAATAGAGCTGCCAAACGGCAAGACGACGCGATATGACATCAACCATTCAGTAAGCAAGAAGAGATGCGAAGAGAAGCTGCCATGAACTGTCTGGATTGCTCGTGATTGCCTCCCTCTGTGTCTGCTGTGTGTGTCAGGATTGCCCCGCTGTGTTCGTCGTTCCATGGGTATGTATGGAAGATTGGACGCAGATTGCTCATCTCCGGTGTGTCTGTGTACAGGATACGCAGAAGAAAACGACCATCTTCGCCGGTAGCTCGCACACACAAATGGACGCACTTCCCCGCCTCATTGTGCCCATCTGGGTGGTCCCTTGCCCTGTCTGTCTGCAGAGGAGTACTACCCAGGACCAAATCAATGGAAGAAAGGCTTTGTTGCTGGGCTCTATGAACGGAAGAAGCACGAGTCGCCCCTCCACGCTGCAAAGTGAGCAATGCGCAGAACACAGTCACACACACGCACACACGCATCGTTGGTTGGATGTGTGCGCAGGCTGGAGCTGGAGGAGGAGGCCCACCTGGTGGGCGGCAAGTGGATCAATCTCATCAATGAGAGGGGCGTGATGGACTACGAAAAGTATTCTGACCAGGTAATGGGTGTTTAATCGGTTCCTTCGTGCATCCATCTCGTGTGCCTTCCTGTGTGTCAGATCTTCTATGCGTTCTTGTGCCTCGATCCTGTGCACACCGACGATCCGCGGCCTCTGGATGACTCGGAGGTCATCTACCTGCACAGGGATGTGCCGGCCAAAGCGGTATGAATGTAGGTAGAATGGCGCGACAATGCACGGACAGACTGTGTCTTGCTTGCGTGTCGTCTGTGAGTGTGCAGGTGTTGGAGGGTGCTCTGCATGGTCATTTCACGGTCACGACGTCCCTGGCCGCCCTACTGGCCATCGAGAAGCTCAGAGAAATCGGCGAGCTACCGAAAGACTTCTCGCTTGCGTTGGGTGCCTAGACAGACAGAACAGCGAGCGATGCTCACTGCTGCGTGCGTATGTGCTGCGTCCCTGCCTGACATGGCGACAATAGACCGTGTTTCATACATGGCGGAGTAGGTTTCAGTCTGTGTTCTCGCGCCCTTATATTGCGATTGCGATTCAAAGCACTTCCCCGACCGTTGACGCACGCACTCAGCCAGCCCATCGTCATGGTGGCGGCACACGCAGACATATATGTCTATTTCTCTATCTCTCTAGGTAGGCACGTCAGCTGCTAGCTAGTCTTCGTGGTGCTTGAATGCCCAGTCTTCTGGCGAGCCGTCCTTGTCTGCCAAGTGCTTCAGCCTTGTGATGCGAACGCCTGTAGACACACACACACACACACGGAGACACACGTGTTTCCATCACCATGTCAATCTCCCATATGTGGGCACCCACCAGGGGTTGCTTGCCGCGTACTCGTCCACATTCGCTGCCTGCGCGCGCGCAATGCCGTCAAAGTTGTTGATGGCTTCGCTCCTCAGATGTGTCCGTGCTCGAAAAATGGCCCTCTTCTCTTCGGCTACCTCGGCCTTCTCAATTTGGTCCACCATATTATCGGTCTGCTTCATCGAATCATCAGCTGCACACCAAACAGAGAAACGGAGCAAAACAGAGATGCACGTGCACATTTGATGGCAGGCAGCCATTCTTAGCCCTGACTGAGTTCGTTGGCCGTGTCTTCGCGCCCAAATGGCTTCAAATCATGAAAGGGCAGGTTGATGTCTGTGGCAAAGCCGCCTTCGGGGGGGCCCATGTTATGTCTGGGCGGCTCCTGTGTGGGCGCTGTGGTAGATGCATATGCGCCTGCTGCGGCGTTGGACCTCTCTGAAGGGCATCGACGCTTGTTGTGTATTATGATCATCCCACACAAATAGTGAATGTCTCCTTACCGTCCTCGAGATCCTGCGGCGCAGGCAGATGACAATAGATAAGGTGGTGCGTGTCATGAAAACCCCCTTGATGCCCGGCCCCACTACCTTTTGCAGTTTATGTATTTTGCTGACAATCTCCTCCTCTGACTCCTCCACGGCAGCTGACGCGGTACGCACAGATCCAGCATCCTTTGTGTGTGTCCACGTTTTGTGTACCCGTGGTGGGTGAAGGTTCAGTGGTGACGATGGGCGGTGGAATGGAAGTCACCGTATCTTCCGCCTTCTCCTTTTCGGCCTTGGCCTCCTTCAGCTCCTGCACGACGCAACACGTCACAAGTCACCAAGGCATTCCCAGCATGTGGCTGGATTCCTGTCTACCTCTTCCAGCTTGGCGATTTTGGCTTTCTGCTCGCCCTCCTTCTTGCCCTCCTCTGCTGCTGATACACACACGGGCCAACAACAGATGGATGAGTGTGTGTCCGTTTCCTTATCCTTCCGCTCTCCTCACCTGGTGGCACCGATGTGAACTGAGGAGGAGGGGTTGTAACCGGCTCGATGATCGCCGCTGTGGTGATGGGTGTCGTTGCTCCCGTTTCCGCATCGGGGGCAAGGGCCGCTGTGGTGGGATCATCTGCCTCAGCCTGAAGAACACACACGAGAGCCATACCGAGGAAGCGTCAGATACTCGTCATTTCTTGCCCCCGGTGCGCCAGTATTGATGGGCGAAGGAGGCGTAGAAGTGGAAGGACCCTGGCCAGACTCTGAGCAGATGCAAAAGTCACCACAAAGTCCTGAGGACGTCCTTCCTCTTGCCTACTTGCGATGAGGGCTGCCTGCATTGGGCCGGGTGCAAATGTGGTTGACCACTCTCCTTCAGGGGGCGGTGGCGACGGTGAGAGCGATGACCACGGGTCACCCGTCGGGTCATCCCCGTGCCGGGACCCTGCATATTGAATGGCATGATCTGATCTGCCTTGTGGCCTCTGATTAATGCGCTCACTGGCGATAAGGACGGCCTTCTTGTTGTGCGTGACGCGTTGTTTGCCGACGGCTTTTCGGTTCTTGTGCTGGTGGCGATGGTGGCCTTCTTCCACAGATGACGCGAAAGCCGCTCCGCTGACAAGGGCGGTGACGGTGAAAAGGAAGAGGCTGATAAAGCAGATCATGGCTGGCCTGCCGCCCGCGATGCGTTTACAAATGCATGTAAACACATATAAACCTACAGGAAGCATACAGAGAGAGAGACGTCCACACACCATTCCAGTCACACAGTTGACAGTTGGTGCAGGTGTGCGTCTCTCTTCTCAAAGTCCATCCCGCCGCATGCCACCTGCGGTTTGGAAGTCGAGTCGCCGTAGGTGGAATTCGAAAAGGTTTGCATTCACGTGGATGTGACACCAACACGCAACATGCATGATGTCTCCCTTGATAGAACATTCGATCATGCAGCTCTGCTGGCTCACACTTCTGTTTCCTTCCCTCTTCCTCGAATCTTCTCTTCAGTTTCTTTCTTGTCCTCAAACACGTCCTCTTCCATCTCTGTCTCAGTGGCCGTGTCTTCCATCTGCTCCAGCAGCCTCTCAGCCCATTCCTTGAAGCCGAACGCCTCTCCGCCCCCCTCGCCAATGGTTGCCACCTTGCTTATGTCGCCAAGCAGCCAATCGAGCATGTCTCGATCGTACATGTAGCCAGTATTCACCTCCCACGTTGAGATGCCCTCTCCCTTCCTTTCTGGCGGGAGGGTGGCAGTGAACTCCTCGGTGATCTTGTTGGGACACACGACGGGCGTCTCGTCTGCGTGCGGTCTGGCGATGAGCTGGCTGAGGTACATTGAGCTGAGAAGCGCGTAGGGCATTGTCTCGTCGTTCAGGTCGTATCGGCAGCCCTTGAGGAATGCGCGGTAGAGGTCGTGGACAGGAGTCTTGCTTCTGCGGTTGATGGTGCCGCCGATGGCTTGGAAGATTGCAGGGGAGACGGTCAAGCGCATCTCGCCGGCCGCCATGTCGTCGTGGGCCTCCTTCAGTTCGGTTGCCTTTTTGGCCACAAAAAGGAGACCTGCATGGTTCCAACACAACTAGTGATCGTGTTGAAAGACAGGCGCCGATTGTCTCTCGTCCGTTCTTACGCTCGGCCCTTCGCTGCTCCTCCTTCTGCTGAGCCAGCCGATTCAACAGATCAGTGTACAGAGTCAGAAGTTTCTTCCTTCCTGCAGCCTGTGTGAGCCCAAGGAACAACGAGAAGAATAAAGGCAGTGAGTGACCAGTCGAATGGATGCATGGTGTCACACCGACCGACCTGAAGCCGACCGGCTTTTGGGAGGAATTGCTCAGTTTTCAGCTTTCTGAAATGCTGGTCTATCACTGCACACACACATAAAAGAAAGCGATATATGCCATCGTTGTGGGTGTCATCACGCACGACGTACACACGCACTCCTCAGAACGTCTTCGTCTTTGGTCACGGGCTTGATCATGTAGCCGGGAATCGGCTTGAAAGGCTTCTTTGGGACGCCCACTTGTGCCTTTGCCGCCGCAGCTATCTTCTGCACCCCGGTCTTTTGCGATGGCAGCCGGCCCACCGCTCTCGCCTTCTTGACATACCTGCCGACACAGGCGGAAGACATGCAGCTCATGGCGCACCGTGTGACTTCCTTCCTACTTGGCGAGTTTGTACATAAGCATCAGCTGCATGAGGATCGGAAGACACGCAAAGCAAGAGACACTCACTCCACTCACTCGCTCACGAGTGCATGATATGTTGAGCGTCAAGTCATACCTCTTCCTCATAGATGAGATGCGAGGACTCCGATGCGTCTCTCGCCATCAACGAATGAGAGCCAAGCCCTGCATGCAATTCCATGACATACACGCACCAACCTTGACACGCACAAGTCGTTAATATGATGGTGCTCTTCTCACCAGTGCTGCCGCACAGCGCAAGGCTTAGGACGCATGTCAGCCACAGATCCCTCGGGAACAACAGCATCGCGAGAGACTGCCGTGCCAGTGGATGGCCCTGTCGTGGGGGCTAACGGGGGGCGGAAAAGACTCCGAGTCAGGTTCGCGGGAAGCTTGAAGACAGATGGCCTCTCCTCTTGGCAAGTTGAGCATCCGTGTCCGCAACAAGGCCCTATCGAGAGCCCATGTTCGTGTGGTGGAGGCGAGGGAGCGGAAGACAGTCGAGCAGGAGCTCGAGAAGGCCGTGGAAAAGGGGGAGAAGATGGAGCGGGGGGGTGGAGTCACGGCTGGGTTTGGCGGCGTTGAGATTGGACTGGAGGCAAACAGAGGCACAGAAATACGTGCGTGAGCATCGCCATGATCAGCACACAAAGGGCCTCTCAGTCTGCATCAATTGATTGTTCAGGTGAGAAGACAGAGGAGAAGAGCTTCGTTCGCATCGAGTATGGCAAGCTGAAGGAGTCAAGCGACTGGTGAGACAGATAGACGCTGAATGCCTAGCACAAAAGACAGCTGTGTCTTTTTGTGAATCATATCATGTACAAGGACGACGATTGATCCCGGCAGAGACGCCACTTTGTCGAGTTTCGAATGGACCTACATCTCTATTGTGATTGGTTCGTTCTGACAGCAACCAAGATGATCCATCAGGCGCCATTGTCACATTGGAATGCCTCTGTCGCAGAAGACTCCGCCTATCAGCTGCTCAACCAACTCATACACCCAGAAGAGCACCCCAATGGCATCGCAATCATAAGGGTGAGGCGAACCCACTACTGCAGATGCAGAACCATTCCAGCCATCGTGCTGTCTGTTCGGCACAGGCCAACCCCCCATATGTTTCGCTTCTGGCCGAGACCATCGAGGCGGCGAATATCGAGGCCAAAGAGGCAGCCTTTCGCCTGAACAATGTCGCCACAAAGCTTGTTTTGACATCGAAAAGCATGGCTCGTGGTGTGTCAGTCGGACTCGAAAAGAAGAAAGGGCGGGAGGCACATGAGGAGGCCGACGCCTCGCAGCTGTGGATTTGGCAGATGGACACTTTCTGCCCGAAGGACGCTTTCCGTCTGGTGCCGAAGGCTTTCCCTGACAAGACACTGGCGGTGAGCCCATTGATGGGCAACAAGCTTGTTGTCGCCTCGCCAACGGCCAAGACAGACGCCATGAACACCAAGGGAGAGGCGAAATTCGAGCAGTGGATCATGGAGACAGCCGAGATGCAAGACATCTTCCAGCCAATGGCAGGAGCCCTGTGTGGCTCGCTGTGCTGCCAGCCCTCCAAGGAACAGCTGCTCGTGTCGCCCGACATTCAATTCGAGCAGGGGAATGAGGAGAGGCGGGGGAGCAGCAAGTTTGATGACGAGACGGTGAGCCTCAAGTGTGTCGGTCTGCCGGATTGTGTGGTGGGTGTCAAGACCTCCGGCAATATCAAGAGTCTGGTGCTGATGAAGAAAGACAGGGGGGTCCCAATGGAGGCCCTGTGGTGTTGCAGCCAGCCAACCAAAACAGTCAGCACCAGCTATGGCAGCCAGCGATACTACTTTATTATGCTTTACTTGCAGGTCAGCCTTTTCGAAGCTTGTGCGGAGGGTCATAAGGAAGCTGTGCTGCAAATAATCAAAGCCAAAGGCATAAAGTGCTTGCAGGAAGCCGACGAGGTGAGACACAGCTGTACGACACGTGCTTCATCTACAATGGGGCGAGCATTGGTGTTCGGTGGGTGAATTGCAGGAAGGATTCACACCGCTGCACTACGCCGCCCAAAATGGCCATGAGGACATCTGCAGAGACATTGTGCTTAAGGGCGGCAAAGACCTCATCAAAAAGCAGACGAAAGTCCAGGTGAGCCAAGGACTGACAGCATAGGAAATGCAAGAGGCGCTCATCTTGACCTCTTTCAGGGCGAGCCTACCGTGCTGCATCTGGCGGCTAAAAAGGGTCGTATGAAGGTTGTGACGATACTGCTCGAGTTGGGAGGGGTCGATCTCTTGACACTCAAAGATCCGGTCCGAGATATCTGTGTGTCTCGTTGTCTGATACGTTTTCCTTTCTGTCGTTGCAGCAAGGTGACACACCGTTTCATAATGCTGCGCTGGCTGGTCACGTCGGTGTGCTGAAGGCGATGCACGCCAAGGGGGGCAGGCCACTGCTGGACCAACAGGGATGGGTAAGAGGAAGACACAGCTGCAACGGATGCCGACCTGTTCTATATGGGTGCAGTATGGCAACTGTGCCATCCACTGGGCAGCTCAGAAGGGTCATGTGGATGCGGTCAACTTGTTTATGGAGTGGGGCGGAATACAGAAAGAGCTCCAACGGCGCGATAAGGTGGGAAATGTCACATGCAGTGCATCAGCCGATAGGATGTCTTGCTGTATAGGACGACAGCGCACCCTTCCACATGGCTGCGTATTTTGGTCACGTCGGTGTGCTGAGGGCGATGCACGCCAAGAGGGGCAATGCACTGCTTGACCAACAGGGAAAGGTGGGAAGACACAGCTGCCACTGAGGTCTACACACTTTCTGGTGTATATTGTGCAGTTTGGCTTCTTTGCCATCCACTGGGCAGCCTGCTCAGCAGCCTACAATGGTCATGTTGGTGCCGTCAACTTGTTGATGGAGCTTGGACGAATAGCGGAGCTCAGCAAACGCGACGGGGTCCTCCCCTTCTCGCACACACTCATCGGTCAAGAAACCGTCTCCTACTGTGTCTGTGTCGTGCTATATTAGAACAACAATACACCCTTCCACATCGCTGCGATGAATGGTCAAGTGGCTGTGTTGATGGCGATGCACGCCAAAGGGGGCAGGCCGCTGCTGGACCAACACTCAAACGTAGGCGAGACACGGCTGCCACTGAGGTCTACACACTTCCTGGTATATATTGTGCAGAGTGGCGACTTTGCCATCCACTGGGCAGCCTACTATGGTCATCTTGATGCGGTCAACTTGTTTATGGAGCTTGGAGGAACAGCAGAGCTCAGCAAACGCGACGGGGTCCTCTCCTTCTCGCACACACTCATCGGTCACAAAAACCGTCTCCTACTGTGTCTGTGTCGTGCTGTGTTAGAACAACGACACGCCGTTCCACGTCGCTGCGCGTGGTGGTCACGTCGGCGTGCTGAGGGCGATGCACGCCAAGGGGGGCAATGCCCTGCTGGAACAACAGGGACAGGTGAGAGGAGAGACACAGCGCAACAGACAGATCTGTACTCCGGGTGTATGTTGTGTGCAGGGTGGCTTCTACCCCATTCACTTGGCAGCTGGGAAGGGTCATGTTGATGCGGTCAACTTGTTGGTGGAGCTAGGCGGCCGCAAAGAACTCGACAAGCGCAATGAAGTGGGAAGAACAGCTAGAATTGTCCACTGTGTCGCTAATGCTGATGGTTATGTAGAACAACAACACACCCTTTCACAGTGCTGCCATGAATGGTCACGTCGCTGTGCTGAAGGTCATGCACGCCAAGGGGGGCAATCGGCTGCTGGACCAACAGGGAGCGGTGAGAGGAGAGACACAGTTGCAACAGACAGATCTGTACTCCGGGTGTATGTTGTGTGCAGGGTGGCTTCTACGTCATTCACTTGGCAGCTCAGCAGGGTCATGTCGATGCGGTCAACGTGTTGATGGAGCTGGGCGGAATAGCGGAGCTCGGCAAACGCGACGGGGTCCTCCCATCTCTCGCACGCACTGGCCAGATATACAGCGTCTGTCTTTGTGCTCTTGTGGTTGTGCAGGTCAACGATACACCCTTTCACAAAGCTGCGTTTGTTGGTCATGTCGATGTCCTGAAGGCGATGCACGCCAAGGGGGGCAATACGCTGCTCGACCAGCAGGGAACGGTGGGAGGAGAGACACAGCTGCAACAGACAGATCTGTACTCCGTGTGTATGTTGTGTGCAGTTTGGCTACTATGCCATTCACATCGCAGCTCAGGAGGGTCATGTTGATGCGGCCAACCTGTTGGTGGAGCTAAGCGGAATAGCAGAGCTCAGCAAACGCGATAAAGTCCTCCCATCTCTCACGGACCGCGTCGGTTGGAATGTCTATCTTGCTTTCTTTGTCTTGATGGCTGCTGTAGGACAACGCTACACCGTTCCACGTCGCTGCGCTGGATGGTCACGTCGGTGTGCTGAAGGCGATGCACGCCAAGGGGGGCAATGGGCTGCTGGACCAACAGGATGATGTGAGAGAGGAAGAGGGTGATATCAACAGACAGAATCACATTGCGTGTTCTGTGTGTGCATTTTGGCCATTTCCCCATCCACTTGGCAGCTTGGAAGGGCCACGTTGAAGCCGTCAAACTGTTGGTGTCCTGGGGGGGCGTTCAGATGCCCAGCAAGAAAACCAATAAGGTGCAGTTTCGTGCGTGACTCGTCGCTTTTGTCTCAGCACATGTGTTGCGTGTTATGCAGGGCAAGACTCCACTGGACATGGCGGAGAGTGACGAGATGCGCAAACTGCTCAACAGCTACAGATAGCCAATGCCTTGTTGGGTTTGGGCTGTTGTTCGTCGGTGTGTCGGTCTGTGTGTCGTGTCGCTGATCTGCCTAGTATGCCATGTGTCTTGAAATGACAAAGAGAGACACGCTGTGCCAGCTTGCACCGGTCGACGCGAACCGGCACAATTAAAGCAATCGACACTCACTCGGTCCCATCATCCAGCAGCGGCGCTTTGATGACCGCAAAGAATTTCTCAGGACGCTCGCCACGTGTGTGCTCCCTGCATGGCTGTGTGGACTGAAGACCGCACTGCATGTCTTGCAATGTTCCAATGAAGGCATGCCTTTGTTTGCATTGCTGTCGATCGTTTGTCTGTGACTGACGCGTACATAAACCATTCAGTCAGTCGTGACACTAGCTGCGATAAAAAAGGTTCGTCACACTGACCGTCACATGTACGTATGACTGACCTGACTGACGCGCGCACTTCCGATCTTCTGATAAAGGGAGGACATATGACACGAAGAACATTACTTCACCTCACCTCCCCTGTGACCTGGGCTGGCGGGCACAAAAAAAGTGCCTCTGCCTGTTCCGACATATATACGCATAGCATACACACACACAGGTAGATCGATGAGAACACACACGCATAGCATAGCACATATTGTACACACTCAGACACAGACGCAGATACAGATACAGAGATTCGGATACACACATATGTAGACAAACAAACACAGAAAGATTCCCATCCGGCAATCCAATCAAGGATCCTTCCTTCTCTGAAGAAAAACCAAACCCGTGCATCACATCACACCGCCCGGCCGAGTCACCCCCCAGCACCATCCCTGTCGCCCTCACTCCTACTACCACCACCACCCGCCCCATTATCCCCATTATCGCCAGGTTTGTCGCCCTTGTTTCCCTGCCCGTGCTGCCGCAAGTGTGTGGCGACTCCTGTGGCCATGGCAAACAGCGGTGTGAACTGGCTGAGCGCGAAGAGCTGCACGTCGGCCGCCTCGGTCAGCGTGTGGCAGTCGCCCTCCAGCAACAGACCGGTCTCGGTCATCTCGTGCACAATCTGCATTTTGATGTTGACGAGTATCTTGGCCGTCACAACGGTGAAGGCGTAAGGGAACAGTCTCGGGCGCGCGTCCTTCAGGCGCCCCATGCAGATCTGCGCAGCGGCCAGCTGCTCGTGCAGATTCCGCCTGCATCATGGCGTGGTGAGAGCACAGGCAGATACATACCCCCACACACAGAGAGGTCCATGGATAGATCCATGGATGGATGGATGGATGGCGTCTATTAGAGGGCGGATGCTTACACGAGTCGTTTGCCCATGATCTTGACGAGGTCTTCCTGCCCCAACTGCAGCAGCTCTCGGTGAACAGCGCCATAACCTACACAGACACACACACACACACACACAGCCTACATAGAGACACACAGCAGCAGCAGCAGCAGCTGACCCATGATGGTTTCGATGTCCTGCATGAGCCGCCAGTACAGCCCCAGCCCACGTAACAACGGCACCGGCACACGCGACACACACGACGGAGACAGAGTGCCCAGCCGGGACTCTATCGTACGCCACTCGACCTGACCCACACAGACAGAGAGTGAGAAAAAGAGACAGAGAGAGACGATGCCAAGACGTGTGAGTGTTTGTTGTGTGTGCTGGGAGGGAAGGGTTGGTGAGTGTGAGTGTGTGCCTCGAATGGTGTCGGCAAGAGCTTTGGCTTGCTAGGTGAGAGGAAGGGCGTCACGCGAGGAGAGGAACTTTCCTGAACCACACCATACCACACCCCAGCACAGTGTGTGTGAGGTCGTGTGTGAGGTCGTGTGTGTGGACCTGCTCCATCTGCGCCGTTTCCCAGTGCTGTATCATCCGCCGGTCGTGAGCACTGTAGGGGAACTTCTTCACCTCTTCCCAGAAACCCTGACACAACACAGCCATGCCCACACACACGCATACACATCCGCCTCGCCCCCTCCCTCCCCCAACCGACCCACCCAGTCACTCACCCTGATGCTCAGCGAGCTCAGCTCGCAGTTGGCTGCGTCAAGTGCCGTGCCCAGGGCCTCCATGAGGGTGTGCAGAGCTCCCCCGTCCACCCCGCCCCGCTCGAAGAGCTTGCCGTACATCTCTCGGCACGCGTTGAAGAAGATGTGATAGATCTCGCCCTCTCTCTCCAGACGGCCGGTTTGTGTGTGAGCGGGGGCCTTCTGCTGATCTGCACACACACACACACAGAAAGAGAGAGATAGAGAGAGATGGATGTGGGTGTTTGTGTACCTGGTGGCGCGTCCAGTCGGAGGCCGGACACCTGTGCGCCGAAGCCGTATAGGCTCTCAGTGCCGATGCTGGCCGTGTCGTCGCCTTCGCTCATCATCCCACTCATCCCGGCCGCCCCCTCCTCATCGCCGAGCGACCTGTGTGACAGCGGGGGCGACTGCCGGTGGGGTGGCGGGTGGAAGTGCGCGTGCGGCACCGGCAGGCCCGACGACTCACGCTGCCACCAGAAGAGAGGGATGAATGGAATGGAGAGAAGGGAACAGAGAGTACACACAGAGGGAAGGGCGGTGGGGTAGGTCACTTACCGTGATGTGTCTCATCTGGTCGTCGTATTCGTCGCTCTCTTCCCCGTCCACTGCGGCCGCTTTGCCGTCTGCCTTGTCCACGCTCATGCCCGCCGCCCCCACACCGCCCTCGTCGGTGCTCGTGACTAAAAAAGAGCTTGGCAGGAAGGTCCCCTGACGCGTCGACATCGATGTCGGCCGGCTGTGCAGACCCAGACCTACAGGCACCACCCACACACGCGAAGAGAGAGAGAGAGAGATGCAGGAGTGATGTGTGTGTGTGTGGGTCGACACATCACCTCTAGCAAGCGAGCTTCGTCTCCTCAAAAGTTGCAGTGTCACTCGTTGCTGCTGCTGTCTGAGCAGTTCCTCGGCCTCGTTGCCGACGGCCGTCTGGGAGCGGTGCAGCAGATGGCGGGGCGACGGCTGCGGCGATGACGTGGGCGTCTGCCAGGCCTTCCTACTCACACACGCCACCCGATGCGACGAATGTCTAAGTGCATCGCGTCCATGTCACTCATTCTCACTTGTCGCTGTTGCCGATTGCCGTGGAGCTCCGCAGCAGCCCTCCGCCACTCCCTCCTCCGTTAACAGGCCCCGGCAGGGGCAAATTCATCTTCTGCAGGTCCTTTATGTTGACACTGATGGCCTCCTCGCCCTCCCTCTGTGGTGGTGGTGTCTTCTCGTGTGTGTCTGGTGTTGCTGCCGGTGGTGTGTGGGGGGTGTCTTTGTGCTTGTCTTTGTTGCTGAGCACGTTGCGGTGGGCCGGCCTTTCTCGCAGCTTGGGAACCAGAGAGAGGACGTAGTCTTCACTCTGATGCTCATCTGTCCGCACACACACACACACAGAGAGAGTGAGAAAGGGACTCATCTGTGTGTGTGTGTGGATGGGCGTGTACCTGGTTCTGGAAGTTTCCACTGGGAGAGAGGGGGCATTGCGGTGGGGGTAAGCACAGACGACACCGCCTGCAATCCATCCATCCATCCATTAGATCAGGAGTCACACATGCGTGACGGCCTGTATGTGCGCCTGTCATTGTCCATTACCACTCTCTTCACAGAGATCTTGCCGCTCTCAGGCAGCACATGTGCGGTGGTGAGGTCGGGCACCATCTTGTTGGCCAGTTCCAGCGCCGGGTTGCTCCGAAAACACCAGTGCGTTGACAAAACTGACACACAGACACACACACCCCGAGTCATGGAAACGCCGATAGAGAGACAGAGAGTGTGTGTGTCGGTTGCCGACCCTGCAGCTGTTCCTTGTACTCCTTTTCGATGTGGTGGACGATCTTGCGCCAGTAGACGACGCGGAACGGATTGGGGGGGTAGATCCGCAGCCGCTGATACAGCCACCCAACCTTCACACAACACACAATACACACACACACACATGGAATGAGATCGATGCACAACACACGTGTGGGCGTGCTGACATACAGTGGTTCCGTTGATGAGCAGGGTGAGGAAGACGATGCCGGCGATGTAGAAGGTGACTCGGTCGCGGACGTCCCTCGGGAGCCGTGTGTCCTCCTCAACCATCAGACCCAACGCCATCGCTATCGCACCCCTGACGAACAAAATCACACAAACACACACAAAAAATGAATACGCAGTACGAGCACAGAGGAAAGGAGAGGAAAGGCAGTTGTTTGTTTGTGCGGGTGGCTGGCCGAATGCACCTGAGGCCGCCATAGACCAGGATGGTGCCTTCCTTCCACGACAGGCCATAGCCGAGCCTCTGAATATACACACACATACGCTGTTTGTATTGAGCTGTGTGCGTGTCCGTGAGTCCATCAGGATGCCTGTCCTACCTGCAGTATTGGCGAGAAGAGCAGCACAATGGCGGCGCGAGAGATGTGCAGGAACACGTACAGCAGGACCAGGTCGATGTACGGGCCGCTGCTCACACGGACACACACAGACACACACACACACACACACACACCACGTGCACTTGTGTGTTTGAGTGTTTGTGTGTTCAAGTCGACCCACGCGGAGTATAGGAAGGATGAATCCGCCACTCGCAACATCCGACACGTGATGATGCCTGCACACACACACGCGCACACGCGCACACACAAAAATGGTCCATTCCACTCATCACACATGGGGCCGCCGACACACCTGCGATGACGAAGAGCACTTGGTTGGCCAGTGCACTCAGCTCCTCGACCAATGCGCGGTGGATATCTTGCACCTGCACACAGACACACACACACACACACACACAGAGAGAGAGAGAGAGCGAGAGAGAGATGATTGTGTTTGTGTGGCCTTCTATGAGATGAAGAGGCACTGACCTCTTTGGCCATGTTGTATTTGCCCACTGCGGCGAAGAACAGCCCATAGGTCACCACTGCCAGCACACCCGACACACCCAAGGCCGTCTCGGCCACGAAATACGACAGATACGCACCTAAGGCACACACACACCCACCCCAACACACAACAAAGAGATGCCCTCCCTCCCTCCCTCCCACACACACATTTACCCACCAGCAAGCACAGCAGTGATCTCAATCACAAACTGTGTGAAGAACCACCTCAGCCAGCAGTCGACGGCGAGCGCCACGGCCATGCCCCACAATGGCCCTCCGATGGCCAGCTTCATGAAGAAGATGGTGGCGTCCCCGCCTGTCACCGTGTCCACACGCTCCACGGCCAGCTTCCGGAATACCAGAAACAGCACTGACAGAGAGAGAGAGAGAGAGAGAGAGGGACAGAGAGAAAAGAGAAAAGAGGGAGGGAGAGAGATGCATGTGTGTGTGTGTGTGTACCGAATGAGGATCCGTCGTTGAGGAGGCTCTCTCCGTCAATAATGGAGGCGAGCTTTGCGGGCGCAGCCAGCTCGTGAAGCGCTGCAACCACCTGCATCACATGAAGCGAGAGACACACAGTGAGTGAGCGCACCAATGCCACTATTTTGTGCTTACTGCAACAGGGTCAGTGGCACTGAGCACACTCGCCAGCATGAGGCACACGTCCCACCCCATGGCCGCGCCGCCCGTACTCGTATTTGGGAAGATCACATACATCAAGGGACCGATCTACACACACACATACATACAAGAAACCACACACAGAGGACACAACACAGCTCCTCAGTTTGCTTGTGCGCTTGTGTGTTGATGAATGGATGGTTACGATGAATATGTTGAGTATCACTCCGACAATGGCGAGCAGCACGGACGAGGGCAGCACGCGCTTGAAGACGTGCCAGTTGACATTGGATGCAGATTCATCTACACACACATTCACATACATGAACAGATGGCCTCCATCTCTCTCTCTCTGTCTGTCTGTCTGTCTGTCTGTGGCTGCCTTGCATGGCTTCCTTACAGAGGAGTATCGGCAGCAGCACCAGCAGAATGAAGTGTGGGTGGATCGTCTCGACGTCCTTGATGCCGACTCCCAGCAGCGACAGATCCATGTTGTGAGACCACCTGCACACACAAAGCACACAAAGAATGCACAATAAACGCTGCTGCCGCTTTCCTTGGCTCACCATGAGAGCAGCATGCCCGCAACAAAAAGTGTCACAGAAACGGGCGGGCGAAATCGGGGAATCAGTGTGATCACCTGGGAACCAGCACAATGCACACAAACAGGCATGCATCCAGACAGACCAGAAGGACTCGTCGTACCCATTGGATGAACGACGAGATTAGAAAAGTGAAGATCAAAAAAGCCAACGCGCCCTCTATCCGCTCGCCCAGCTCATCCTCCTCTCCGTGACCCACGCTGCCCTCCGCTGCAGCCACATCGGCACCGTGAGCCTCGCTCGACATAGATCTTCAAGATCTTCGAAGATCTTCAATTCAACAACACACAGACGAGCGGCAGGCACCAGCTCACGTAGCCCCCGTCGAGGGGATCTTTCTTTTGTTTAGGGCTTAGGGTTTCCCCTTCTAAGCTCGCAGAATGGCGATCGCTCCAAAAACACGCGCTTTTGCAATGAAGCTGTGAGCCACCCCCTCGGCACTCTCTATAGCGACAACAACATGCTTTTGACTTACCTGAATCATCAGTCACCGTCGACCCTCGTGCTCTCTCGGCAATACCATCGGCCTCTGCATCGAGCCACACAGCAGCAAAGGAGGACGCCAGCCGCGAAGAAATGTTCGACGCGGGGTTCTTCAACGGGGGGGACGAGGGACGAGCCGAGTCTGACTGGGACGGCTAGGATGTGGACTTGGCGGAGATGAGCTGCTGCCGCACGTCCATGCAGGAGCATGCCATCTTGCTAGAGACCTTACGCCCAAGCCAAGAAGGAACAAAGGCGGCAGAAGCAGCACAAGCCGGTAGGAGAGAACATTCTGTGGGCCATCATCAAACCGACCCTATGCCTCATCGGCCGTCGCCTGAGCCTGGCCTGTCACGTATAATGGACGACGGTTTGCGTTGTTCGTATCACACATCCATGAAAATGAATGCCCGTCAGTTCTCACTCACACGAGGCAGACAGTCATTGACATCTCGATCGAGAGTCACTTGCATTGAATGCATTGCATGTCTCTTCCACCACACCACCCCACACGCACGCCCATCCATCCATCCACGGCAAGCAGCCAGACCACAAGAGACCATGGATCATTGGAACAGTCAGCCAGCGAAACAGACGGCCCTATCTGTCTCTCAGCACCTACCGGCCATCCCCACCCACTCGCCCTGCCACCGTCATCTGCCCATGCGTAGCCGACATACCAACTCACCAGACGCGTGGAAATCCGGCGACCTGACGAGTGCGGCATGCCGGCAGCGAACGAGCATATGGCGGTGAGAGTGCACAAGGGACGGACAGACGAATGAACAGATGACACACGCCAAAAGCACGACGATCTTTCTTGACTGACATCTCATTCTTCTCACAAGCTCCACCCACACGAGCAGCCAGGGAGCGAGTGCAGCCTCCTCAGCTAGACGTGTGCTGGAACAAGATGAGAAGAGACGAGCCGTCAGTATCGTCCAACCAACAAAGGCAAGCCAGCCAGCCAGCCAGGTAGCCTGCTCAGCGAGCAGGGCCCTATGAATTAGCAGACTTAACAGCCAGGAGTGAGCTCTCACACAACTACAGACAAACAAAGTTTCGCTCGTTCATGGAATGATCGATCGCATCCACCCTCCCGACATGTCTGCCCTCGTGTACTCCCGGAGACCCGCGAGCCTGCCCCATCACACCGAGTGGCCCGCACGCACTTGACATCGTGCGACCAATGAGTCCGATGGAAGCATACGACAGGTCTGCAGAAGCTCCTGAAGGCAGCCAGGAAAGGGCTCAGAATGACACCATGCCCGCGAAAAAAGATACGCAGGAGTGAGTAGAAGAAGCCGGTGCCTCACTCATTCACTCGCCCCACTCATTCGATCCCGCCAGGCAGCCAGCCAAGGCGACAGCCAGACAGCACCAACCCATAAACTTGTCAGTCACTGCTTCGTAGCTTCGTCTCTCGTCTCTTCTCGTCACCCTCACACACGGCAAAACCCACACACGCTCCGTGTGCTCACATGAATGAAGGCAGCCAGCCATCCAGCCATCCAGCCAGTGAGTGAGAATGCAAAAACGCCGCACAACACACGACATGACATGATGACACACACGTACACATACACGCATGCATAGCCACGCGAACTCTATTCTGCCTGTCTTTCCTTGTCGTCTTGTCTGTCTCATGGTCTGCCTCTCTGTCCCGGTTCCCTGCTGGCGCGTCGACCAAGCACAATGAACCCACAGGTATGCACACACACACACTCAAACACTCACACGTCATGCCATGCGTCAGCATACACCACACCACACCGAACGAAGCAATCATCCCATCCACCGTCCCTCTTTGTCTGCCTTTCTCTGTCTCTCTGTCTCTCTGTCATTCTTTCTGTGTTCCCGCCCTCATACTCAGTAAAAAACTACCAATATGAAGGCAGGCCCGGGTGTGTGTAGGAGGGAGGGAGCGAGGGAGGGGTGGCTCATCCGTCCGTCCGTCCGGCTATGTGTTTGTAGGAGCTGGTACAAAATAAACAGCAGCACACACGTGTGTGTGCGCATTGCAAGCAGGCATGCATGCATAAAGAGAGAGAGAGAGGCCATATACATGCATTTGTGTGTAAATGGCCGCCCCCACCCACCTAGGCAGCCATCGGCGCGTGTGTGTATGAGTGATGCATCAGTCAGTTAGCACTGGTGGGTGTGGAGCACATGGCGAATGCCTTCTTCAACTTGGCCATGAACCCCATAGCTGCACAGGACACACACAGATCGGCCGCAACACGTATTCACGCGTCCCCCATTGTGTGTGTGCCTGCTTACGTGCATCGGCGGCCTTGTCGTCAGCGGGTGTGAGTCGGAGGTAGTTGATGCCCGACGGCACCTTGCACGTGTGGCACATGGGGAAGTGCTTCTTCTGGTCCTCCTCAGTCACCGTAGGCAGCAGAAACACCCACCCTACACACAACCACATCCACATATACATACACACCGCCGCTCCCTTTGTCTCTCTCTCTCTCTCTCTCTCTTTCTGTGTGTGTGTGTGTGTGTGTTTCCCTGACCTCTCTTGCCGATGTTTTCGTGGTTGTTTGGCCAGTTGGCTGGTGTGGCGATGGATGCCTTTGCGGAGAGCTGGAGTGCCTTGGTGGCCCGGACGATCTCATCCATGTTCCTCCCGACCGATGCGGGGTAGTTGAGCATCAGCTTGAGCTTCTTGTCGGGGCCGATGATGAAGACCGCACGGCAGGTCAGGGGCAGACCGTCCTGTTATATGTAACATGTGGCAGCACACATTACACACAGGATGCATGTGTGTGGGTTGGGGCACCTGTGTGTGTGTGTGTGTGTGTGTGTGGATCGCTCACCTTGTCTTTCTCTGAGGGGTCGAGCATGCCATACCTGCACAGACACACATACACCCACACAGACACACAGATGGAATCCATAAGTACATCCATGGCCGTCTGCCTGTCTGTGTGTCCATTTGTGTGTTGTCTGTGTGTACTTGACGGCAACGTCCCGCGACTCGTCACCGATGATGGGGAAGTCAATGGTGATGCCGTTCTCGCAGTGGGACACCACGTCGGACAGCCACTTCTTGTGGTCGTCCACCTTGTTGCAGCTCAACGTCGCTACCTGAATCAACGAACCATGTGATCCACACACACACAGACAGACTCATACATTAATGGAAGCGTCCACCCATGTGTGTGCATGCGCACCTTGACTCCCATGTCGCTGAGTTCTGGCCAGAGCACACACACACGCACACACACACACGACACATTGACAGGGAGACATGTGACACATGAGAGACACTTCTCTGTAGGTGTCTGTCGTGTGCATGCCCACCAAACGGTTACCGCACCCTTTTACCTTTGTATTTGATGGCCAGCCTGCCGATCTCTGTGGTGCAGACGGGGGTGAAGTCGGCAGGGTGCGAGAACAGAATGGCCCAGCTGTCGCCAATCCAGTCGTGAAACGACGGCATGTACCTGGAACACACACACATGCACACTGTCAGGCACATGCAGATCTCCCTCCATCCCTCCCCCACGCATCCGCACCCATGTGTGGTGTCACTAGCGAAGTCAGGCACGATGTTGCCGAGGCGCAGGACGCCGTCTGAGGATTGAGCCGTGTACAGGGACGCATACTTGGTCGCGCCAGAGGGGACCGACATCGTGCGAGACAGGCGAGAGATCTGTTGCAGATAGTGACACACGGGGTAGGGAGGTGCTGGGACTGGCGGAGGCGGGGCGGAGGGGTCCGATGCGGGGGTGCGAATCAGATCTGCGAGCTACTGATACGGGAGGAAAGTCGATTGATTGATCAGGAATGAACGGCGATTCGGCTCATCACGCGTATCACGTTGGCCCGAAGGGCCGCGTGTTCAAGCGCCGTCCCGCCTTGCCGTGCTACGACAGCCCGCCCCAGACACGCGTGCCGCGAGATCTGCTCGACGCCGTCAGCAGCGACCCAGACATGCAGCTGGTGGCATCATTTCAAGTGCCCAGGAGCGACGGCCGGGCCTTTCGAGTGCTGAAAGGGCAGCTCTGCCGGTTTGTGGTCAACGAGGGCAGTCAAGTGGGGGACGGTACTTAAGCAGACTCATTAAAACACTGGCACAATGGATGGATGGGTTCATGTGGTGTGTGGTGTGATTGTCAGTGAATGTGTGGAACTTGCACAACCACAAGGAGCGGTTCTACTCTGGCAAGACGCGGCAGCTGCACGCGTCCCACCTGACGGCTTACGACCGGCTGTGGAGCTGCATGCCCTTCGAACGACCCATGGCCACTAGTAAGCACACTATAAACACGCGCATCACACGCGCATTTCGTGAGCCTCCGTCTCTCTCTGTGTGGGTGTGTGGGTGTCTTGTGTATGTTTTTAATCGATCAGTCACTGTCGACACGATAGCTTATGGTTGGGACGAGGACGGCGCGGGAGTGCATGACGTCATCGGCACACGTGAGAGAGTGAGAGAGAGGAACGGCTCGCTCTAGACTCTGAGATGGATTCCTGGACGAACACGGTGTGCGTATCTGTTGCTGGATGGCCGCAGGATGCGATCCTTACATTCACGAGCGGCTGACGGGCAAGAGCCACGGCACCACGTGCCATGAGAACATCACCAGGGCCATCAAACCCTTCGGACTCACAGAGCGCGACGTGCACGACGTGAGCAAGGGAGCAGCTGCGTGTGTGCATGTGAGATGGGTGATGTGATTGATGAGTGTAGGTGTTCAACATCTTTATGTGCACTGGCTTCGACCCAAAGAGCCACACCTACTTTGCCAAGGGCAGCCCAGCCGTGAGCTATGCACAAACGCCGCATGAAACCTCCCGTCCTACACCACAGTGGTGTTGCGTGTCTGTCTTGATTCAGGAGGTGGGCGACGCCATAGAGATGCTTGCCGAGTTCGATCTGCTCGTCGCTCTCAGCTCCTGCCCACAGGGGGACGTATCAATCCCTTGGTAAACATAAACACGCCACCACACCATCGACACACCGATCTCACCCAAGTGCCCTTCTTGTCATGTCAGCGGTCAGCCCGTCCCCGATTCGGTGACCTTCCCCCTCTTGGTGGAGATCCGGCAGCCCTCACAGGCCACCCTGCAGCAGTACTTCGCGTGGAGCGACCCGACCACGTCTCTGCCGTCGCTGCCGTGTGCTGACGAGCAGGACGCCGCACCATTGGTGGAGAGGGACGGGTTGGGAGCGGTGCTGGGGGCGAAGGGGTCTGAGGCGCCCAAGCGGTCTGATAGCGGTACGCTGCTGCTCGGCCAGTGAGTGAGTGAGAGAGTGGGTAAGGGATTGCCATAGATAGGCCGAATCGTCGCGTGTTTTTGGACGCGGTCGTCGGTTGGTCGGTCGTGTTTCTCTGGGGTGTCTTCTTGGTTTGGGTGACGATAATGGATGTGGATAAGTCATGACTTGTTAGCTCTAGTGTGAGTGATGAGAAGTTTGTGTGTGTTCGTAGTATGAATTGTAGTATGTGAGACAGTGGAGATAAGTGCAGTGAGGTTTCCTTCTCCCTTGCACAGAAAGCTGTCTTACTGTGCCACATCGACTGGACACATGTCTGTTCTTGATGGCTGCTCAGCTGAACCACACACCCATCCACGTTGCACTGAATCCTCGATGCTGCCCAATGCAGGAGGCTTCGATCACCCTGAGTGAGCAGTTACGCTGAGTGACGTGAGAACATTTCATCCGCCTACGTGGGATGCCTGCTCGAGCTTCCACCGCACCAGGCCCCTGTCCAGCGGCGTGTCATCGTAGACGGCAAAGTCCCCTTGAGCTCCGATGCAAAGGAGGCGAACGACGGGAGATCGAGCTCGTGAACGAACGCCAAGATGGTGTCGCCAGCTGCCCTCCCTCCCCCCACCTCCGAAGTAATCATGCTTCGACGAGATCTCCGAGACGCGCGCTAACCCTGGGCCAGCCCCCAGTCTTCCCCCGGCCCCCCCC